TTTTCGAGGTGGCAAAGAATTAGAAATTGAAGGGATGCCCTTCAATCGGAGAATGGCTGTAGGAAATGACAAAGGGGATGGTTTCAGGAAAAACCTGGAAAGATTTATATGAACTGATGCAAAGAGAAGTGAACAGAACCAGGAGAAAAATAATCAAATGTGAAAGACTTAGCTATTCTGATCAATACAATGATCCATGAAAATTCCAAAGGACTCATGCTGAAAAAGCCTATCCCTGGGGTCTTCCACTTCCGGGAGCCAAGATGGCAGAGTGAAAAGGTAGCCTCTCTCACTCTCCCCTATCAACCTCTGAAAACCCAGAAAATATCACCCCAGAAAAAAAAAAACCCTGGAACACCTAAACTAGAAGAAAGACAAGGAGCAGCAGTGCAGTAGCCCAGCAAACGGGTCTCCCAGTGCCTCAGCAAAAACAAGGGGCCCCAGGCGGATAAGTACCCTGCATTCATCTGAAAGGAGGTGAAGAAAACAACCTAAAGGCTTCCTAAAGACCCGACCTTGCTGATTCCAACCCAACACCAGGGTTGCTGCAGGAGCCCTGAAGCCCCCAATTGTGAAGAGATCCTGAAGCCCAGGTAGTAGAGCAGGCAAACACCAACACCTGGACCTCCGAGTGCCTGGGGGGGAAGGGGGGAACCGGTGGAAACCAGCTCAGAAAACCACCAGGAGTCTCGGCAATGCAAAGGAATCTCCCAGTGCATTAGCAGAAACAAGGGAGACAACACTGCAGGGGGCCCCAAGCAGATAAACATCCTGCAGCAGCCATCTAAAAGGAGCAGAAGAAAGCTAAAGGAAAGGAAAAGCAGGCAACCTAGAATTGCCTGAAAGTTCCAGCCTTGCTGATTCCAGCCCAACACAAGGTAAGCTGCCAGAAACCTACAGCCTCCAATTCCCAGCATAAGAGGCCCCAGAACGCAAAGCCAGTGACCAAGACCTAGGCTCCCAACACAAGAAGCTTGGGTCAGTACCCTCTGTGCCCCAGCAGGAGAGCTCAATCTCTTTAAAGCCCAGGGAATAAAGAAACACCATGAGTAAAAAGAAACGTACCATAGATTCATATTATGAGAAGAGTGAAGATCAAGACAGAAATTCGGAAGAGGACAACATTGTCAACAAACCCACATCTGCAACAACAAAAGGGAATATGAACTGGTCTGAAGCCCAAAAAGCCTTCTTAGAAGAGCTCAAGAAGGATTTTAATAGTCAAATGAGAGAGGTAAAAGAGTCCTTCAAAAATACAATTGGCCAGTTGGAAAAAAAATACACTGAAGAAAACAAGTCCCTAAAAAACACAATTGGCCAACTGAAGAAGGAAGGACAAAAACTAACAGAAAAGTACACTGAAGAAAACAAGTCCCTAAAAAACACAATTGGCCAGTTGAAGAAGGAAGTACGAAATCTAACAGAAGAGTATGCTGAAGGAAACAAGTCCCTAAAAAACACAACTGGCCAGTTGAAGAAGGAAGTACAAAAACTAACAGAAGAAAACAATCTGTTAAAAACTAGAACTGGACAAATGGAAACTAATGTCTCTATGAGAGAGCAAGACTCAGTCAAACAGAAACAAGAAAATGAAAAAATCGATGAAAATGTAAAATACCTCATCAGTAAAACAACTGACCTGGAAAATCGACTCAGGAGAGACAATTTAAAAATTATTGGACTACCTGAAAATCATGATGAAAAAAAGAGCCTGGACAGTATCTTTCAGGAAATCATAAAGGAAAACTGCCCAGAAGTCCTAGAACCAGAAGGGAAAATAACCATAGAAAGAATCCACGGATCACCACCTCAAAGAGATCCCAAATTGACAATGCCAAGAAATATAATAGCAAAATTCCAAAATTACCAGATGAAAGAGAAGGTGCTGCAAGCAGCCAGAAAGAAAAAGCCTATCCCCTTCCACAGAGAGAGAAAACCGATGCAATCTGAGTACAAATTGAAGCTTTTTATCCCCTCCACTTAATTTATCTTGTTTTTGGAACTCCCCCCCTCCAAAGAAAAAAGAATCTTAAAAAACTAAATAAAATATCATGTGCAGTATTTAGTTAAAAAAAAAAGATTGAAAAAAAAAGTTCTCCAGGGCTGTATCCCAAAGATATCATACAAATGGGAAAAGCACACACATGTACAAAAATATTTATAGCAGCTCTTTTTGTGGTGGCAAAGAATTGGAAATTGAAAGGATGGCCCATCAATTGGGGAATGGCTGAAGAAGGTGCGGCATATGAATGTAATGGAATACTATTGTGCTACAAGAAATGAGGAGTAGGTGGACTTCAGAAAATCCTGGAAAGACTTGTATGGACTGATGCTGAGTGAAGTGAGCAGAACCAAGAGAACATTGTACACAGTAATAGCCATGTTGTGTGATGACTAACTTTGATAGACTTAGCCCTTCTCAGAAATGCAAGGATCTAAGACATCTCCAAAGGTCTCATGATGGAAAATCCTGAACACATCCAAAGAAAGAGATATGGGTCTGAATGCAGATCGAAGCATACTATTTGCTATTTTTTTCTTCTGTTTTGTTTTGTTTTCTCTTTCTTGTGGTTCCTCCTATTGGTTCTAGTTCTTCCTTACAACACTAATGTGAAAATGTGTTTAATAGGAATGTGCACGTATGGCCTATATCAGATTGCATGCTGTCTTGCGGAGGGTGGGGGGGAGGGAGGGGGGAGAAAAATTTTAAACTCAAAAGCTTATGGAAGTGACTGTTGAAAACTAAAAATAAATTAATTTTCAAAAAAAGTTCTCATTGCATGACAACAGCAACAACATGACAAGAATGAAGATAGTATTTATATAGTGCTTTAAGGTTTGCAAAGTGTTTTACAAACATCCATTTTATCGCAACCCTGGAAAGCAGGTAGCATTATTACTTCATTTTTCAGATAAGGAAACAGAGTCAGATAAAGGTTAAGTAACTTGCCCAAGTTCACACAGCTAAGACATATCTGAGTCAAGATTTGAACCCAGGTCTTCCTAACTCCAAGTCTGGAATTCTAACCACAGTACCACATGGCTGCTGAGGAAGAGGGGGAAGTTGGCCACAAGAATGAGGTAAGTAGATCTCAAATTCATTACAATAAATTTCATTTATTTAACAAATATTTATTAAATGAACTATTAATAGGTACTGGGGAAACAAATCTAAAAATAATTCAAATCTACCATCAAAGAGCTTACACCATAGGGAAGAGAGAATAATTAAGTGGGGAGCTGTGTGTAGATGATACATATAAGTCTTACACAATTTGGCCATGATAATGTCAAAGAAAAATCCAAAGTACTGTAGGAAAATCTGAGGGAGAAAAACACTTTCAGCTGGATAAATCAGGAAAGGATGGATAGAGGAGGTGGCACCTGGACCAAACCTTGAAAGTAGTTAAGGATTCTGAAGTAACATGGAGAGTTTTCACTCAAATGCACAGAGGCAAGAAACAGCATGTGAAATCTACAAAGTATCCATTAGGATAGTCTGGATGGAAGCTGGAGTGAACAATGAACAATGTAAAATAAAGCTGGAAGCATAGATTAGAGCTGTATTACATAAGGCCTTAAAGGCCATGCCAAGGAGTTTGATTCAAGTCCTACGAACTGTAAGACTACAACACAAGAAAGTGGAGAGGGGTGTGGTCTGTGGACAGGGGGCTTTTGGCAATAGGAAAGTGGGATGGTATGATAGCTGTGTGTCATAACAGAAAAGGAGAGCTTAGAAAGGAACTGCAAACTATTTTGGCATCTACTTTGGATTTAGTTTCTACCTCTGTTTTCATGGGCTAGCCAGAATGAGCAGAGGAGGAATTTTGACATTAGTCAAGGCTATGGTTGGCGTGAGGATGACCAACAACATCTTAAACTCACTACTCAAGTTTGGTATCTGTCTCTGCTTTAATGACTATAGTGGTTTGGGCTACTGTGTTGATCAGCTGCAGTTCACAGGTTACAACAGTAATCTGTTTGCATATACCCTTTGTAAACACTCTTAGGCAAGATGACCAAGTATTCTGAAATTATGTTTTATATTGCCTACAACTGCACAGAAAAGTAACTCTGCCATTTAATTTGCTTCTCTGAAGTAAGTCTATGAGCTCTTCTTCCATTTATCTCCAAGTTTTCATATCTTGATTTCATTTACAGAAAAACTGTCAATATGGATATGGATCAGTTCCTGCATTTACTCAGCTCATTAGTCTTGAGACAAAGATGATGGGTAGGGGGTACCAATAAATGTTTGTGGGGATTTCTAAAAACTGTGGATCCTTAGCATATCCTGCCCTTTTCTGACACTGCCATCATTATGAAGTAGAGATCTTACAGTCTCAAAGGCCACCTTGCATTTTTATGCTATTCCCCCTTCTCCCCAGAATGTAAACTCTTTGAATGAGGGGCTGTTTTGTATCTTCTGTGCCTACCATAGTACCTAATACATAGCAGGTGCTTAAATAACGGCTGATAAATAAAATAAAATTTTAAAAAGTACTACCTGATATAAAGTTTTCTTTATCAAAGATATTTCTAAAAGCATTTTTTGTAACTGTGAAAAGTTGAAAATCACACTACCATCCAATAATTGGGTAATAGCTGATCAAACTCTGGTAAATCAAAGAACTGGATAATATAATAAGGATTATAAAGAAAAACAGAAAGATACAAAAATATGCAAAGTGAAGAAAGCAAAGTTGGAGGATCAATACATATAACGACGAAAACTACAGCAAAGAAAAATATATGCACAAATATAGGGTAAAATGGACAAAGATGAAGGAAAGAGACAGGAAAAGTAATTGCTAAATTGTTTAGCTGGAATTTTAAAATGTGGTTATTTTATTGAAGTTAAGTTCTTAAATAAGTTACTCATTTTAAAAAGAAAAAAATTCTAAGTGGCTTCTGCCATTCATCCTTTAGCCCTAGGAAGATGTTTCATATGAGTTTTTTGCTGGGAACCATACACATCAACTTCCCCAGGCCCAAGTTACCTGCGAGGGGGTGGCTCCCTTAGTCGTGCAGAGAGCCCCAAGATCACAGCCTGTACACTCTCCTTTGTTGGCCTTTCCTGTAGTGGAATCCGGCGGCAATCTGAATGCTCACGCAGTAGCTGCTGGAAGCTAAGGAGAGGGAAAGGCCACATCTGTACCAGCTTCTGCAGCACCAATGTTTTTCTGTCTAAGAAGGCTGCCTTGAACAGGACTGCATATAGCTCCTGGGGCAGGAATGCCAGGGCCTGGCATGCAAAGACCTGATCCTGGATCACCTGACGGGCACACAGGAACACGAGGGAATGCATCGCTGCAAGCAATGTACACTGGATGCCCAGGAGACACAGATGGGGAATTACCTGCCAAGAGAAAAGACATTCAACACTTAAAATCAGTCTTACAGGCCTGCAAGCTCCAGGTCACCATTAACAGCCACCTAACTGGGCCACATACAGTTGCCATTCCTTAGTCCTTGAACAACCAAAACCAATATAAAAACCAATAAAGCTAATGCAGCCTTTGGAGACATAAATACTAGTAGCCAGTACCTGGAGAGTGATAGCCCTAGGTGGTTCACTCTGGAATGGTGTTTAGGTCTGAATATGTCATTTTAGGAAAGCCACTGGCAACCAACCCCAAGACACCTTCAGGAGAACGGAACTAGGATGGTATAGGAAATGTGAAACCATGCCATACAAGGGGCTGTTGAAAGAAATAGGGATGTTTAGCCGGAAACAAATTAAGGGAGAATGGCTTCTACAGGTCACCAGCGGTATGGGCAAGGGCTCAGAAGAGAGGTCAGGGCTTGGAACATGGAATGCATCCATGAAGATGTGGTAGATGAAACCATGACAGGAAATGAACTCACCAAGAGGAACGAACATAGAGAAATACATTAAAGAAAGCCAAAAAGAGTTCTAGGTTTGGGTCTTAGCTCAACATATATAGAGGCTCAATGGCCCAAGTATTCTGAGAAGGAACTATGACAATGGGTTTATATTGACCTGAGTTTGTGTAGAAAACCATACTCATTAACATGAGATACCTAAGTGCCTAACATAAAGCAAGCACTTAATAAATGCTAGCTGGATTAAATTGAACAATGATCTTCCGGCAGGCAAGTCCCTTCAGAACAAGAAAATAAAGGTACTGAGAGAACATATGGAATCAGAGCTAGAAAATTAGTGTCAACGATAAACCTGTTCAAGTGCACCAGGAATGCCTGCTGTCTCATCTGTGGAAGAGTACTACACTCTGTACCGTACTCTGTATATTCAAGAGACAATAACAATCCTAGCAGTTTTCTTGCTATTAGAGGCACTATGTCAAGTAGAATAAAGTCAGAGGGGCAACTAGGTGGCGCAGTGGATAGAGCACCAGCCCTGAAGTCAGGAGGACCTGAGTTCAAATCCGGCCTCAGACCAAACACTTGACACTGGGCAAGTCACTTAACCCCACCGCCTAGCCCAAAAAAAAAAAAAAGAATAAAGTCAGTTACATAACATTTGTTTTGAAATGTTCTGAGACAACTGAAGTACTAGGGAATAATTCGGGAATAACTTAATTTTGTATTTGTTCATTTTTGACTTTGTCATCAACATTGAGAATGCAGAAAACAGCATCACTTTACAATAAATTCCAACCTGCAACCCTTCCAATACCCTCTTCTACAAGAAAACTTCAGGTCTTTTTCAAGGTAAAGGGTCTCCAGGTTCTGGAACTGCAGTCCACTGAGGGTGCCTCCTGGCTTGTAGCAATCAACCTTGCCAGCTGTAGTAAGCTGGATACCACCACTATTTGTTGTAGCACATATTTCTTTTTTAGTCATTTAACATGTGTAAAACTATGCTACTGTTTTTACTTGGTTCATCTCTTTTTACGTATCACTGATAAAATTTTTGAATGTTGTGCTACAACACCATGTTTCCCATAAGACCTATGGTTTTAACTGCTTGATTTTGTATAGCACAGTGATTTTTAGAAACACGTTATTTCATGTAATGGCAACTAGGTGGTGCAGTGGATAGAAAGTGCTAGGCCTAAGTCAGGAAGACTCATTCTCCTAAATTCAAATCTGGCCTCAGACACTTAATGCAGTTGTATGATCCTGGGCAAGTCACTGAACCTTGTCTGCCTCAGTTCCACATCTATAAAATGAGCTGGAGAAGGAAATGGCAAATCACTCCAGTATCTTTGCCAAGAAAACTCCAAGTGGCGTCACAAAGAGTCAGACACAACTGAAATGACAGATCAACAAATGTCATGTTAGAGCAAAACTGATTGTTGCACTCTCCTTACAGCCCTTGTGACTATACTCACATTTACTTACACCCTCTTCCGTATTTCATTCATTACATACTATCTTTCTTCCCAGTCACCCAGTCTCAAATCATCTCTGACAACTGTCCCAACTTTTCCCCAAAACTTTTGTAGAGTCAGCGCTGGCAGATAGTTTAGAAATCCTCTAGTCATGATGTTCTTAACCTTTCTGTGTCATGGACCCCTTTGGCATCTGGTGAAACCTATGGACTACTCGTCAGAATAATGTTTTTAAGTGAAGGAAATACTATATTTCAATCAGAGGTTAGTGAAAATAAAGGTAAAAAATTTCCCCAAGTTCATGAACTCCCTAAAAATCGATCCATAGATAAGATTCCAGGTTAAGAACCCCTACTCTCTTCTAACTCTCTCATTTAATATAAGGGAAATTAGTCCAGGAAGGTGTTTTACCCAAGGTCATATGGAATTAGTGGTGGAGTAGGAATTAGCTCCCAGCTCAACATAAAATAAACATTTTCCCAGATGACTAGGAGGGAGATGGGAAGTCCAAGTACTCCAAGGGTTTAGAAAGCAGAGGAACAATGGTCCTACTACCACCATCAGCTAAGTGGCAGAAAAACTGCTCAAGCTGCCATTTGGGCTCAGGAACAACAGTTATTGGAAAGGAAGGAAGAAAGGAGGAAAAAGGGAAGCCACATCCTTACTTCTGTTGTTGTATATGCCAAGTAAGCTCATATAACTATAACTGATCCCTGAGACCCACTCGCCCTTCGAGGGCCCCCAGGAAATTCAATCCCCACCCCTCTCTTCCAGACAACATTTCATTTCCATTTTTTCCCTAGAACAGGGCTGTCAAAGTATGGTCCCTGAGACGTTTCCATAATAAAACTGAAATGTTTTAATTTCTAGCATAGCAAATATGGATAAATATAATCCACTTAAACAAATGCTCTTTGGGGAACTCCTCTATAATTTTTAAAAATATAAAAGAGTCCAGAAAATTTCTTCTGTACTTTCACCTTCCCCCACAACCCTAAAGTAACCCATTTTGGCACCCTCTCCAACTCTTCCACACACTTCCTCCCTCAGATCCCAATTCCCCCAGTAGCTTCTGCTCCACCATCACCTGAGCAAATGGGTCTCCTCATGGTTACCCAGCAACCACCAAACCTCAAACGATTTGCTATGCAGGCCCTACTCTCTTTATGCACCCTCCTCCTATGGCCAGTATAATCATAGGCTGTTGTATCTGCCACTCCCTCCTATCCAGAAAGTCTCCCACTCACCTGCTCTTTGTCTACTTCCCCTGGTCTGAAGTCCCCATCTCCCCCCACTTTCTCTAAAGTCAGCTCCCTCCTCTCTTCATGCAATCAATCTTCACTCCTACCTCAAGTTATCTGCTCTTCAAGTCTATTCCTACTAGCCTGATACCTCCGTCACAATTTGAATGCAATCTCCATTAATGCAATGCAGTCTCCATTCCTGCTTGCCCATCACTGATGGTTTTGGCTTCTCTCTACTCCAGCATCTGTTCCAAATCCACTTCCTCAGGCTTGAGGCTTTCCCCTCCCAAACACAGTTTTTATTCCCGCACCGCCCTCTCTCCCCATGCAGCCTCCATTCTTGTGCCCTCCCCGCCATCCTGACTTAGTCCTTACTTACCCTCCCCCATCTGTTCCAAGCATATTCCTCCCGGCCTGAGCCCCCCTCCCAAATATCTCCTTTCCACTCACGCAGCCTCCAGTCCAGCTTTCGGATACACCCAAAATCAATCTGCTCTCCAGCTCCCCCCGCCCATCTGCGCTTCTCCCAATCTAGACCGCCCCCCCCCGTGTGTGTGTGTGTGTGTGTGTGTGTGTGTGTGTGTGTGTGTGTGTGTCCGCGCGCGCACGTCAGTCTGTCTTGTCAGTCTGTCCGCTCTTTGTTCCCCTCCCCCTCCTCCTGTGCCCAAGTCCGCCACTCCCACTCACCAGAGCTCGTCCGTCCAAGGAGGCCAATCCGTCCCTCCTGGGCCTAGGCCTAAATGGTCAATGCCCGCCAACCCCAGGCCTTCGCGGCTCTCCTCCCCCCACCCTCGGTTCGCAACCCAGTGAGTCCGACCTGGTCACCCTGGAGCCCCGGGGCCAAGCCGCGCCACAACCCCGGGCACGGGCGCGGCCGTCGCCCTCGCCGCCGTCGTCGTGGCCGCCGTGATCTTCCACCGTTGATGCACTTGCTGTCCCTGACACACCGACTACCTCCCTCCGCCGCGAAAAATAGATCCGGCTCTGTACGGACCGCGGGGCGGGGTTGGCGACGCAGGAAGCTCCCATTGGCCAAACCCCTTCAGTCCTCTGGGATTGGTTGATTCTGCTTCTCTACAGATTACGTACACATCGCCCCGCCCCTGCTGTCGTGGTGCGTTCAAGGATTGGCTGAGATCGCAGAGCCCCTTCGCCTAGAGCGGGAGATTTACTAGGCTAGTCGGGGGAGAGTTCCCGCGTTGCTGCGGCTGTGCGACCAGCGTGAGGTCCTTCCGTGAGTGTCTGGGGCTGCGGGGGGGGGGGCCGCAGGGCAGCTTGAGACGACCCGGGGAGAGGGGTTGGGGGAGAAAGCATAGCCTTTGCGCTCCTGCCTCGCCTTACCCCTTCTTCCTTATCCGAAGCGGGGCAGACCGTCCAACCTCAGGCTCTTGGGATGGGGGGAAGGATCCTGAGGGTCCCTGTATTAAAAAAATGCTTGGAGATCTTCAGAGGCGCCAGGTCAGACCCTTTCTGACATCGGTTGCACCAGGAGCCCCACCCCACCCCCTACCCCTCGATTTGTCCTGAGGGGCTCTGCGCTTGGCAGCCTCTGGAGGCTTGGCTCGGACCCCCACGACCCTAACCCACTCTGGTGCTGTCTAGAGATGGAGCAGCATGTGGCCTGTGGCTGCAAGCATCCTCAGTGTCCCATGCACCCTGGGAGCTCCTTGGAGAGCCACTTGGGATCTGGCAACCTAAGCAAGCCCTGCCTAAGGCGCCCAAAGAAAGGGAAGGAAGGAAGAAGGGAACAATCGTCTATTAAGCTCCTACTGTGTGCCAGGCACTGTACTAAGTGCTTTTACAAATATTATTTTATTTGATCCTCACAACAACCCTGGGAGGTGGGTGCTATTTTATCCTCATTTCGCAGTTACTCCCTAGCTGAGGCAGACTTGCCCAGAGTCTTACAGTTAGGAAATATCTGAGGCTGAATTTGAACTCATCTTCCTAAATCCAGGCCCATCAGCTGTGATTTACTGAGCCACTTAGCAACCTCTGGTCTTGAATGGAGGGCTGGCCTTGCTAATCTGCAAGACAACCTGGTTTTGAGTTAGCTCGGGTAACCCTAGGCAACTGGCTTCACTTGTCTGAACCTCAGTTTCCCCATCTGTACAACAGGAATTTATTTACACTCCTTTCCCCACCGAGTTTTGTAAAGATAGTGATGTCTCTTAAAGTACTATATAAATATTTGTTGTTTTTATGGTTGGTAATATCTGATGGGCCTAGCGTGATCTTTGGGTGGTTTTTCCTCTTCTTCCTCAGCTTCTAGGCTAGCCATGGAGCGGTGCCAGACGGTGAGGGCCCTTCTGAAGGCCTGGGAGATGGCATTCCTTCAAGAACACAAAAGGAAACCCAACAAGGTATGGGAGTTTTCTCACCTATAGCGGCAGGGTTGGAAGGGTACCTTTAGACCTGATGCCACTTTCAGCAGTTTGAATGTCTGTGTTTGTGTTCTCTGGCACAGGACCAACTGGAAATGTTCATTCCCTCTTCAGATTTCACTTGCTCCTATCATACTCTACGTAGAGTATACTTAATTTATATCACTTGCCATATGCCCCCATTAGATTAATAGACTGTTGGTGCTTTATCATAGGTTGGGCACAAGTAGTCCTCGTGAACATTTGGGGTGGATTTGCTAAGTTTTTGCATCTTGTGTTTCTTTTGAACTACTTCAATTCTGCTTTGCCCCCTCTTTGATGAGGGGGTCCTGTGCCAGTGTTTCCCATGTCCCATAGTTATTTCCAAAGTTCTTTAGAGAGACCTAGAGAGTGTCCTTGTATCGATTCTTCTGACCACCATGTGAGTGCTTGTCTTGTGTGAGTTCTCTATAAAATAGTGTTTTAGGCAAGGGTATGTTTGGCATTTGGAACAACATGGCCAGCCCACTGGCATTGTGTGCTTTCTGCGATAGAGCTTGAGTGCTTGGCAGTTTTAGTTTGAAAAAGAATTTTAGTGTCCAGTACCTTATCCTGCCAGGTGATCTTCAGAATCTTCCTAAGACCCATGAGTTTCCTGGCATGATGCTGGTGTACTGTCTAGATGTCATGGGCATGCAATGTTAAAGTCAGCACAGTGACTCTGTAGACCTTCAGTTTGGTAGGCAGTCTGATACCTCTTCTCTCTCACACTTTCCTTTGGAGCCTCCCAAACACTGAGGTAGCTCTGGCAGTGCAGATATCAAACTCATTATCAGTATGTACATCCCTGGAAAGTATATTGCCAAGGTAAATGAATTTATCCACAGCATTCAAAACTTGCCATTTGCTGTAACCAACGGTTCTATACATGGATGGTGTGGTGCTGGCTGGTGGAGAACCTGTGTTTTCCTGGTGTTAATTGTTAGGCCAAATTTAGCTTAATAGTGTTTTTTAATTTTTTGTTTTGTTTTGTTTTGGCTAGGCAATGGGGTTAAGTGACTTGCCCAGGGTCACATAGCTAGTAAGTGTCAAGTGTCTGAGGCCGGATTTGAAATCAGGTCATCCTGACTCCAGGGCCTTGTGCTCTATCCGCTGCATCACCTAGCTGCCCTAGCTTAAGAGGTTTAATAAATATAATAATATATTAAATTTAATAAATATTCAATTGAATTGCATGTGGTGTTGTGCCAGTCATTCTGTATAGCTCAATTTAGCCAGGTTTTAGCCTTCCCAAGGGTTATAGGCTAAGAAAGTCTTCCTTATAGTGATAGAAATGCAAGAATAAGATAAGCATCAATAAAACATTTAAAAGGTAGAAGACAAAAGAAATTCAGAAAGGGATACACTGGGCAATTATATCACCCCTGGATCAAATTTAATGTATCCTTTTTTAAAAAACATAACAGAGGTTTGTGGTTTCATATATGGCCCCTTTTTGTTACTTATATACTGAAATGTTTATGTTTCTTGGATTAAGTAATTTTTTTAATTAAAAAAAAAAGGCCTCCCCTATTGCATGTGAACCTTTGAGGAGAAGATGGCAATATAACTGATAGGATAATTAGCTCAAGAAATTAATAAAAAAAAATGTCTTGTTAGATAGATGGGCTGAACTATGGATATGAAAGAGATTATCCACCCATTTTTATTAGGGGCATTGGCCTATGAGCAGGACTTGTAGTCCCCAGAACCCTTTTCCTCAAGGGGCCTACAAGTTCACCACATGCAGTGGGAGCCCAAAGCATCGGCTGATGATGAAATGAAATGAACAGCATGAGTTTGACCTTTACCCCCATACCCTTTCCTGGTGAGTTTCTTAGGGTGGTCTAGAGAATAGGAACCTTGAACTACCACAGGGACCAAGGCTGTGCCTGGGCGCAGATAAAGTGCTGAGGAAAATATTATTCAAAAAGAAATGATGCTTCATCCCATCTGCCTCCAGAGCTGCTTCCACCTCCCTAATCTTAAAGCTTTTCCTTGACTCTTCTAGTTCCTGCAGGTACTGTCTAATCAGTCCCTGCCTGTTAAAGTTTTTTGAAAAAGCACTCTAGACTGATGCCTCCATTTTGTAGTTACTCTTGGCTTCTCCTTTTGCCACTGTCCTGAAACTTCTCTTTAAGGTCACTGATGGCCTCTTCATTGCTAAACCTAAGGGTCATTTTTTTTTAAATGAAGGCCTTATCCTTCTTAGCCTCCCTATAGCTTTTGACACTATCACCCCATCTTTCTGGATATTTTTTTCCTTCTTTTGACTTCAGAGCCACCATATTCTGATAGGAATGTGAGGAGTACCTTTCTGTGTCCTTCATGCTCTTTATAATCTCTATATTAATGTATATGTTTCTCAAGGAGCAGTGTTTGGCCCTCTTTTCATTATATTCTGCCCTTTAGAGAACCTCAGCCATTCTCAGAGCTTCAACCATTACTTCTGCTGTGGGAGAAACAATACCATCTTAAATCCTGACCTCTTTCCTGAAACACTGATCTCCAAAAGCAAGCTCATTATCTTCCCTCTGTAAATCGTGTCATCCTTCTGACTTCACTGTGGTGCCACTCATCATGTTTTTAATCTTGAGATTATTTTTGACCCTTTATCTCACTTAAGCTTCATATCTAAGATCCCATTGCAAATGGCAAGAGCTGAGATTTGGAATTGGAAAGGAGATCTCCAACTCTATAACCAGTGCTTTCCTCATACTGGGCCTTTGTTTCCATATCTGTAAAATGGACTAGGGAGACTTTAAGGTGTCTTTCAGCTCTCAGTCCTACACTGAAGAACACATTGTTCTTCTTCTCTTCATCTGTTGAATTCCAATCTAGTCTTTAAAACCTGTGTCATGCCACCTTCTCTCTGTGAAACTCTCCTAGACCCCACATAACAGCCTTTCTAACCCAGCTTCACAGAATACATTCTAAGTATAGTAATTAGAAATTCAATTAAGTTCAACTCAATAAATGAGTGAACAAATAAATGCCCTATTAAGTAAAAAGACTGCAGTGTGTACGTGAAAGAGATTTCAGTAAGTTTTTACTAGAGGCATTGGCCTATAAGCAGCACTTGTCCCCAGAACCCTTATCTACAGGGGGCCCACAACAGTACATTACACACAGTTATTAATAACTAAGTATAGTTCTCCATTATGGTTATTTCTGTTGATATCTTATCATACCCCTACCAATAACTATAAGCTTCCTGAAGACACAGACCGTCTCTTTGTCTCTCCCCAGGCATTTAATAAATTATTGATTTTATTGTATTACATGGTCTTGAACTAACCGAGAACTGTCTCTTGCAGAATGATGTGGAGTCAGCACCAGAGGAAATGAAAGGTGAGTATGTGGCAAAAAACATCTTCCAAGGTGAACCAGCCTGGGTCAGAAATGGAGTGGGTCAAAACTTCTCTGCTGATCAGGAGTATGGACTGGCCCCATGGATAGCCACTGCACTTTCAGGCTGGGCAAGATAGGGAGAATCCAGCCTTTTTATTGGGGGTTGGGGAGAGGCAATTGGGGTTAAGTGACTTGCCTATGGTCACATGGCTCCCATAGCCTGATTTGAACTCAGGTCCTCCTGACTTCAGGCTCAGTGCTCTATTCACTGTGCCACCTAGCTGCTCCTAGACCTTCATCTTTAAAAAAAAAAAATCCTCCAACAATTGTGTGTGGAGTGAGCATAACCACAATCTGCCTGGGAGGCAGAGCCATTGATTGTAGGTAAGCCAACATCTTATGCTAGATTTGTCTTCCCAAAGCAAGACTGCTCCTTCTGTTCATGTGGTGCTTTTGTGCCAAGGTTCTCTTACTCCAGTAACATTGTGTACTTTAGATAGCCGACTCAAAGGGAGCTGGAGAGGAAGGGAGAGGAGGAAGCAAAAATTCTCATTTTAGGTGACTCCTGGCTTTGGATCAGAAGACCTTGGTTTCTTGGGAAGCAACATCAACCAAGAATAGCTTGTTTTAGGGGATGGGGAAGAGGCTGTGTTAAGCTAGATAGGACCAGCATATATGACAGGAATGATGCCACAAGCTATATGATCGGACATGATTAGCTACAACCCTGATGGAGCGGACAAAATCTGGGACAGCCAGATACCAAGTCGTATTTGACAGCTGGAAGGTCCTTTGGGGCGCCGAATAGATCTGGCCTTTATTGTGCTTCTTAGTCTCTCCTTCCTTTTGTGCCAAGACCCTGACTTCCCCTTTCCTCCCAACCAGAACTCTACCGAGAATACCGAGCCCTAAGGAGAGGCCAGGAGTCAGCAGGCCTTCCACAGCCCACCAACTCAGGCCAGAAGGGTGCACCTGCAGAACAGGTAAATGGAAGGGGCCCAGAGCTGCAGTGAATAAGCCTTTGATTTTCTCACAGAAACTTGCTCAAGCTTGCTATTCCCAAAGAAAGGGTTAAATTAACACTGATTAAAGGGGAAATGGGATGCTTTTAGGGGAAACTCCTCATTATAGACAGCAGAAAGAGTATTGAATAGGAAGTCAGTAGATAAGGGTTCTAGTCCAGGCTCCATCATTAGTGACTATGGATGAGTATCTTCTGTCAAGTGAGTGGTTTGGCTCAGATGATCTTTAAGGCCCTCGAGTGAACTTCCTAGGGTTCAGTTTCCTCATCTGTAAAATAAGGGAGTTAAATGGGTCTGAGGTCCCTTCCGGCTCTAGACTGATAAGCCTTCTAGTTCTAATGATCTGTTCTGTTTCTTTTTAAGTTATGAATTTCCTCTAACAAAATGCTGCTTTGATGCCTCTTCATGACATAGAAGTGATGCTGGGATTTTAAAGGCTCTCAAAAAAGTGTAGGTTTTGACCATAGGTCTGACCAAGCTAAAGAGTCTTCAGGTATAGACCCAGTGATGACTATATGTCTGTCACTCAAAGGCTAGCCCTAGTTAAGTTCAAGAAGGGCTTATCCCCAGGTTGGCCACAGGACCACAGCAACTGTCAAAGACCATTTATAGGAAAAGAGAAACCACACTCATGGAACTATAGATCCTTGAAGTAAGAATGTTACAGGCTTATATAACTTCACAGGAAAAATGAACCTAATGAATATTAAATCTATTTTAATTTATTTATATCTATAAAATATAAAACTATAATTAGAAATATGCTTCAATGGACAAATAACAATTTTGTTTTATCAGTAACTCTTTCAAAATCCCAATTTATAGTCCCTATAACTGTATGGCGTATTTATATGTTTACTTAGAGCCAATTTTTGTAATAGTTTAATTGCTGTTTGTTCTTTGAATGTTAGAAAATTTTTACCTGTGAAGAGGGTCAGTTTGAGCAGCCTGACCAGTATTTAATAATATAATGTGGGGGCAGTCTTTTTGAAGTTATGACCAAGTTTGGGGTTGTGTCTCATGTTTTGATTTTTGCTAATTGTACCTATGAACCCATCTGACCAAGGTGCTTTTTGGGAGGTTGGCATGTTGGGGTTCTTTATCAGTCAAATAAGACAGCATATATAAATCACTTTATAAACCTTAAAGTGATGAATGTTTATGTGCAAATATACATATCATGTGTATAGTGTGTATGCATGTTTGTTTATTTCTACCATAGTAGAAATTATTAATGTTGTTTAAAACTGTTAATAATAAAAACTATTAATAGTAGTCATTATTGCTGGGTGTACCATATTCCTAGTTCTGCTTTTAGGTTAACAGGTTTTTGTTGTCATAGAGAGTACGGCTACAAAAAAAATCCATACCATTGTACAAATAGTTCTTTCTCTTTCACTTCCTTAGGGTACATTTCTGACAATGAGATTACTCTAACAAAAGAAATAGTCAGGTTCACAACCTCTTAGGGTGTATTACCAGCTTGCTCTCCAAAGAGACTGTACCAGGTTGCAAATCCCCAGCATCGTATGAGCGTGCCTATTTTTCTAGAGCCCACTGAGGCTGGGCTTTATTATTTTTATTAATTTTTGCCAAATGGCTGGATGTGAGGTGGTGCCCCAGAGTTTTCATTTGCTTTTCTTTGATTACTGGGAAACTGAAGGTTTTCTCAAGTGGTTATTTCCATGTTTGTCTCCTCCTTTGTGAACTATGTTCATGTCATTTGAGCTTTAAAAACCAGGGTCTTTTGCTCATAAATTAAAATCTTTCCCCTTAAATACTGCATCTTATGCTTTTGTCTAACATACTCAATGTGAGAATTTTTTCAAACCTTTTAAAAAAATTTAATGGAATTAAGTTACATTTTGGTTAATTATAAGGTAATTTAACAACAACAATAATAAAATAATGATGATGATGAAGATAGCTAACACTTACAGAGCTCTTACAGTGTGCCACTGTGCTAACTGCTTTACAATCATTATTTCATCTAATCCTTATAACAACCCTGGTGGAAGGGGCTATTGTTATCTCTGTTTTACAGATGAGGAAACTAAGGCAAACACAGGTTGAGTGATTTGCCAAGGGTTACACATCTAAAAAGTTTCTGAGGGCAGATTTGAATTCAACTCTTCCAGACTCCAGGCCTGGCACTCTATTCGCTGTGCTACCTAATTGCTCCTAGATACTCGAATCATATATGATTTATACTTGAATACTTCAGGGTTCCATAATTTGGTGAATGTGAGTACTTCACACACAGATTAAAACCCTCTATAACCTAATTGCTGGTCTTTTGTGAGGTTTCTTGCCAAAATATTTGTCATTGCAAACAACCTGGTGTTCTGCATGAATGAACTTAGCTAGGCAGCTTTTCTGACTCCAGGTTTTTCTGAAATCCACCTGCTCATCATTTCCTGTGGAACAATAGTATTCCATTACATTTATGTACCACAGCTGGTTCAGCCATTTCACTCAGCATCAGTTCATATAAGTCTTTCCAGGTTTTTCTGAAGTCACCTGCTCGTCATTTCTTATAGCACAATAGTATTCCATTCCATTCATATACCACAACTTGTTCAGCCATTCCCCAATTGTTGGGCATCCCTTCAATTTCCAATTCTTTGCTGCCACAAAAAGAGCTGCTATAAATATTTTTGTACATGTGGGTCCTTTTCCCCATTTTTATGATCTCTTTAGGATACAGACCTCGAAGTGGTATTGCTGGGTCAAAGGGTATGCACAGTTTTATAGCTCTTTGGGCATAGTTCCAAATTGCTCTTCAAAATGGTTGGATCGTTTCACAACTCCACCAACAATGCATTAGTGTTCCAATTTTCCCACATCCTCTTCAATGTTTATCGTTTTCCTTTGTTGTCATATTAGCCAACCTGATAGGTATACTGTGGTACCTCAGGGTTGTTTTAATCTGCATTTCTTTAATCAATAGTGATTTTGAGCATTTTTTCATATGAGTATAGATAGCTTTGGTTTCTTCTTCTGAAAACTGCCTGTTTATATCCATTGATGATTTATCAATTGTGGAATGACTTGCATTCTTATAAATTTGACTCATTTCTCTATGTATTTGAGAAATGAGGTCTTTATCAGAGATACTTGCTATAAAAAAAATTTCCCCAGTTTTCTGCTTTCTTTCTAATCTTAGTGACATAGGTCTTGTTTGTGCAAAAAAAAATTTTAATTAATGTAATTAAAATTACCCATTTTACATGCTGTATGCTCTCTATTTCTTGTTTGGTAATAAATCCTTCCCTTATCCATAGCTCTGACAGGTACACTATTCCTTGCTTTTCTGATTTCCTTATGGCATCACCCTTTATATCTAAATCACATACCCATTTTGACCTTATTTTGATGTATGGTATGAAGGGTTGATCTATACCTAGTTTTTGCCAAACTGCTTTCCAGTTTTCCCAGCAGTTTTTGTCAAATAGCAAGTTGTTATCTCAAAAGTCTGGATCTTTGTGTTTATCAAACAAGATTACTGTGGTCATTTACTACTGTGTGTTGTGTACCTAATCTGTTCCACTAATCCACTACTCTATGTTTTAGCCAGTACCAGATTCTTTTGATGATTACTGCTCTGTAATACAGCTTGAGCCACCTCCTGGCTCCTCCTTCACATTTTTTTTCCCGTTAATTCCCTTGATATCTTGACCTTTTATTCTTCCAGATGAATCTTGTTATTACTTTTTCTAGTTTTATAAAATAATTTTTGGTAGTTTGGTACGGCACTGAATAAGTAAATTAGTTTAGGCAGAATATAATTTTTATTATATTGGCTCAGCCTACCCATGGGCAATTGACATTTTTCCATTTAGATCTGACTTTATTTGTTTGAAAAGTGTTTTGTAATTGTGTTCATATAGTTTGTGGGTTTGTCTTGGTAGGCAGACTCCCAAGTATTTTATATTGTCTACAGTTATTTTAAATGGAATTTCTCTTTTTGTCTCTTGGTGCTGGACTTTGAGAGCTCACAGTCAAATAGGGGAAGCACCATGCAAACAACTATCTACAAACAAGATATGTATGGTATAAATTAAGGACAGTGCCATAGGAAAAGCACTAAAGTTAAGGACGACTGGGAAAGGCTTCTTGCAGAAAGAAGGACTTTAGCTAAAACTTGAAGAAAAGCCAAGAAGCCACAAGGGAGAGGATTCTAGGCCGGGGGGTAGTGAGTGGGGCAGCCAGTGAAAACACTTGGGAGTCTGGGCAAGTTTTGGGCAAGGGGGCCAGTGTCACGGGATTGCAGACTAGATGGAGAGAAGTTAAGGTATGAGAATGGAAAGGGCCAGGTTATGAAAAGCTTTGAAAACAAACAAGTGACGTGATCAGACCTGCACTTCCAAGCGATCACTTTGGCAGTGGAGTGGAGGATGGATTGGAGTGGGCAGAGGCAGGAGGCACGTAGATCAACCTGCTTAATCCCCAGCGCCCATGTTGGCACATAAGTTGTAATTATTTTCATGGCTGTCTTTTTGCAAATACTCTTTGTTATTATCACCTAATATGGCCAACTATCCTATGAAATGGTGTTTCTTGTTGCCTTTGGACATAGGTTAAATCTTTCTCCACTAGTTCCTTTCTTTGCTTTTCTACTGACTACTCTGGACCCCTCCTTCCATTTAGCTGCAGCGTCCTTCTTCTAACTTGATCATGGTAAGAATATTGAGATTGATGACTCAGCTCCTCCAGCTGAATCCACTCTTTGGTGCTGGGACAAGGATTTTACATTTAGAATGACAGTGTTGAAGCTTATCTGAAAATTGCGATTCTTAGCGTGCTGCCACTGTCACAGTCAGAAAACATGCATTAATTAAGCACTTACTGTGTGCCAGGTGCTGGGAATACAAATACAAGGAGAAAGACAGACAGTCCCTACCCTCAAGGAATTGAGGGTTACATTTGTGTTACATTTGAATGTAACACATTAAACATATAAGCTGAAAAATGGGGGAAGGGGTTCTCCCTGCAAGTACCTGGTACTGGGATGTGGAAAGTCTGGAGTGTGGCCTGGGAAGGAATGAAGACATAGCTGATTTAGGAGATGACCTTATAGGCAGATTGGTGGTACTATGAATAGAGTGCTGATTCTGGAGTCAAGAAGAATTCAAATCTGGGCTCAGGCACTTACTAGGTGTATGACCTTAACATCTCTCTGCCTCAGTTTCCTCAACTGTAAAATGGGGGTCCTAATAGCGTCTACTTGTTAGAGTTTTTGTGAGGATCAAATGAAAATAGCATTTGTGAAATGCTTAGCCCAGTGTCTGGCACACAGTACATGCTATATAAGTCTAATTATTATTATCATTACCATTAAGTGGAGATTATGGGAGGAACCATCCGATCAGAGGGGGAGGCCCGAGGGGCACACATGGCAAAGTGTAAACTTCAGGGACAGAGTGAACAACCAGAATGAAGAAGTTTCTGAGACATGGTCGAGAAAAAATGTCTAGACTGTAACCTTGAGAGAATCTAAAGTGAACTCTGGACCGGGATTCTGGCTCCTTTCTTAGTTTTCTTAGTGTCTTTGTCAGACAGAGTCTGCTTCCTGAAGACTACCCTAACGCCAGTGGGAAGCTAACTCGGTCTGTTGTCAGGGCATGTTTTACATAATCACATAAATAATGTTGACGTAGAATTTTATTTAAATTATAAAATATATGTTACATTAGATAAATACAAATATAAAATTACATTTGAGTTATATAGCAACTTTTGAGTCCAGAAGGACTAGTCTCCTTCCTTTTAGGCGATTAGGTGGTTTAGCAGTGCTGCAGTTGGAGTCGAGAAAACCTGAGTTCAAATTCTGCCTCAGATGCCCAATAGCAGTATGACACTGAACAAGTCACTTAACCTTTCTATGTGTCAGTTTTCTAATGTGTAAAATGGGGAACATAATAGCACCTACCTCATAGGATTATTATGAGGATCAAATGAAATAACATGGAGAGGGGCAGCTAGGTGGCGCAGTGGATAGAGCACTGGCCCTGGATTCACAAGGACCGGAGTTCAAATCCAGCCTCAGACACATAACACTTAGTAGCTGTGTGATCCTGGGCAAGTCACTTAACCCCAATGCCTAGTCAAAAAGAAATAACATGGAGAGCATGTTGCAAACTTCAAAGCACTATGTAAATGCTAGCTAGCTATTTGTATTTTTCCCCAAGAACTCCCTTTGGTGCACTTCTCCCATAAAATCTCCAGCAATTTATCCACTTATACTAAATATGGATTTTTAAAATTTCTGCAGCCGTGTTGTTTACAAATAGCAGTATTTTTACCTCTTTCCAGTAATCATCTCTGATATCTTTTTTGTGACACTGCAATTGTTGACGTTTCTATGTAGAATAGAAGTGGTGACAGCTTTGTTTGGCCCCTGGTTTTTTTTATAGGTTTGCAGCTAATGTTTCTCCATTGAGAATATCATTGGCCCTTCGGTTCAAGCTATAACTTTTCATTAGATTAAGAAAAAATTCTTTTATTCTTTTTTTAAAATTTTGATTATGAATGCATGAGTGAATGCTAATTTTTATTAAAGGCCTTCTCTGCCTCTGTTGATCCCAAGAATTAGGTTAATTTTTTTTTTAATAATGAACCATCCTAGCAATTTTAGGGTAAACACTACAAGTAACTTTTTTGATGCATTCCTTTGATCTGTTCCTAAAATTTCTTTTCTTTTTCTTTCTTTTTTTTTTTTTTTTGGTGAGGCAGTTGGTGTTAAGTGACTTGCCCAGGGTCACACAGCTAGTAAGTATCAAGTGTCTGAGGCTGGATTTGAATTCAGGTCCTCCTGACTCCAGGGCTGGTGCTCTATCCACTGTGCCACCTAGCTGCACCCCTAAAACTTTTTTAAAGATTTTTTTTCCATCAACATTTATCAAAGGAGTCTCTAGTCTTCAGTATTGTGGTTTTAAAATCAGATTGTTTCATAGAAACCCAGGTCTTTCCTGTTTTGACTCCAAGTTCAGCAAAATATATCATTCCAATTAGATATGATGTTCATAAAGTCCTTCAAGCATTATATGAGAGCTAATATTTTGTTGATAATTTTCCTTATATCTTTTTCTGAAATTGATTTATTGAAGTTGTCAGTTTGGGCATTCTATATTTTTGTAAATTACTATCAATTTAACTTTAGCTCTCTAATGAATTAGTAGAGAATAAAAATGATAAAAATTTCTCTTGTCATCTTTTCCTTTCTCATTTCTTTCTTTATTATGTTGTTAGTGGTTCATCAACATTCTTCATTTCACTTATTTTTCAGGTCGGTTGTTTGCTTCCTTTTAAGTTCTTAGGTCTTTTTATTTTTATTCCTTTGATTGATATAAATTTACCTCTGAGTATTCCCAAAGGTTACTGTTCCTCATTAGGTTTGATATGAAGTAATTTTTTTTTCCTTGTCTAATAAATAGTCTATTTTCTGAATTTACTCCCTGCCCTAACCATTTAAATTAAGAAGGTATTTTTTTCTTTTTGCCCTATAGTCCCCAAAACTGGGATTTGTACAGTTCACTGAGTATGGGATCATTTGTTTGTGAAAGATTCATGTGTACTCACTAGGGAGGAAAATGTATTTCTCCTTTTCCATTTAGCTCTTGCCAGATATCTCTTCCTTCTGTTGAACTCCTCATCCGGTCAGCTCCGTGGCACAAGTAGATAGAGCACTGGGCCTGAGGTCAGGAAGACCTGAGTTCAAATAGGACCTCAGACCCTTACTAGCTGTATGGCCCTGGGCAAGTCACTTAACCTCTATCTGCCTTAACTATAAAATGGGGGTCATAATATCACCTCCCTCCTAGGGTTGTTATGAGGATCAAATGAGATATTAGCAAAGCATTTATCATAATGCCTGATACTACATCATAGGTGCTTAATAAATGCTTGTTTTCTTCCTCCCCTCCTTCTTTCCCCTCTTCCTTCCTTCTTTCCCTCCTTCCTTCCTTCCCTCCCTGAGCTCTGTGCTGGTTTGGGAGTGAGGGCTGTGTTTGAATGAGTTAGGAGGCCCAGCTGGTGACTTTAAGGTGTGTGCTCACCTTGTATTTAGGCACCTAGGTGACACAGGTAAATAAGCCTTCAGCTTTAGAAAAGGTGTGAGTGCTGAGCTGGTAGGGGCAAGGTGAGTAACAAACTTATTCATTTTCTGCCCTGTCTGTGCCCGAGTCCCAGAAGTCTGTGGCCTTTAGTGCAGTCTTGATGCTTTAGCAGGGGCCCAGGTTTGTCCTGGGCTGAACAGCCTTCCAGTAGCTTCCTCCTCTACCCATTCCAGTGCAATCTCCTAGCTAACCTGGGGTTCCATTTTCCTCTCCTGCTGACCCCCGTAATTAACCTCAATCTTCTTGACATTGCTATAGACCTTTCTATTTCACAAAGCACCTTTCCATTCAGGATCTCATTTGCTCCTTCTCACACCACTTTGAGGTATAAATAGGGAGGGTTATCACTGATACTTTAATAGAGTGCACTACAGTCTCATTGTGGGCACACTTTCCTTTGGCACAGATTGCAATCTATCTGTGCCTTTTCATGAAATATGTTTTTGTCTACCCTTCTATAAATCTGCCGTAAAGAATTTACCTAATCGGTGGGAAGTTTCTCTCTAGGGCTTTCAGTATTTTGCAGATACAAGATAGGGCAGGTCAGGCTGTCCATCTGTTTCCAGCTGATCTGTATTCACACTCTCACCTGTCCTTTTGTGCACTCACTACTATGCAGGTCACCGTTGGTGACAGGTTACCACCAGCCTCCATCCAAGCAGCATTGCATGCAGCTCACAACTGAGGGATCTTAAAATAGTTTGCCTATTTTAAATGTGTTGATTGAATTGAACTTTACTAACAAGGAACCTGAAGCCCAGAAAGGTAAAAGGGGACCTTCAAATATGATCCCTTGCTTTCTCTTTTCTTGTGTTTTTTGCTATATCTGAATTCCACATGAGGAATAATAGAATTGCAGAATCTCAGAGTGGGAAGAAGCCTTAGAGGCAGTCTCATCCTTAAGTATGTCAATAGGGAGGGTGAGACGAGTGCCCAAATCTGCTGTTTACGTGCCTTTTCCCCTCTGTAACTCTGGTCCCAGGGAAGGGTTTTGTGACTGCTCAGAGGTGGGGAAAGAGGGGTGGTAATCTTTGGTGAGGTTTTAAGGCATTCTTTGTCGTCATGTGGGGCATAGACCTTGCTTCCCAAATGTAAAGATCCCTCTTTTCAGAATAGACTCACAGGATGTTAGAGCTGGAAAAGACAGTGTTGATTGCATCCAACCACCTTGTTTTACATATGGAGAAACTGAGGCCCAGAGAGAAGGCTCAGTATTTCCCCAGGGACACAGAGCTAATGAGTGACAGAGGCGGGACCTGAACCCAGGTCTTTTCTGACTCTGTACTCTCCACTATCCCCGGGGGCCATTCCACACTGTACTTATTCTCTTTTGGGATGAGAGCCTCCTCTGCAGTTCCACCTCACCGACTCTTTCTCTGTCCACCTTGCCTTGGTTTCAGCCCTGCATTCTTCTGTCTCCTCTTGGCAGGCACCAGGGGTGGACAGCTGGGGTGCACATCTCAACAGGAATGTGACGAAGCCACCACTGCCCACCCAGAGAGCCACCCTCCAGCAACCTTTGCAGTGCTATGGGAGGACGCTCAAGTCTAACCTGAAAGCCACCTTGCAGGTATGTTTTCAGGGCCCCAGGAAGGAAAGAGTCTTAGAACAGCCTACTGTGACTTAAGAGTTCATAGAAAGTGGGAGTGAGGGGCAATCATTGGCCAAAATACCAGGTCAGGGAGAAGGAAGCTATGCTATTTTTCAGGAACTGTGTCTCTGCAGCATACTCCAAACTTTTCACCCACCAAGTTGAGACAGGGTTGTTCTCCCCTGTAGTACACAATTAATACACTGGTGTATCTGGCCTGGTTTCTTTCTTAATGCATCTCTCTGTTCCTGGGTGGGTCTCTCTGAATCTTCTCAGGATGGTAGGGGTGATCATGGCCTAGGTCATGCAGATGGCTGAAAGGGTTGGTGTTGGTGTGATTATGAAATCAAAGGGCTGTTCCTTTTTGGATATGGGAGGGAAACTTAGGTAAGTGCTCCCCTTCACAGGCAGGACCATCCTCAGGCCGGATACCTCGGCTTCCACGCGGACAGCAGCCAAAGAAGTGCCCCTCGCCCAAGTCTCATTTGTCAGTTCCCTCTGCCCCAACAGAAGTCATACCTAGTCCCTGTGAGGGAGACACTGCCATGCTCAAGCCCTCCATACCTCCCTGGGGCTGTGGACCAAGGCCCATTCCCCAGCCTGGAAAAATGAAGCAATTACAACACACCCTGGGCCAGAGGCTGAGCTCCCTGGATCCTGGCTGGTTGCAAAGGTGCCAGGTTGAGGCGAGAGACAAGCTAGGAAAGATAGAACACTCCAGCTTGCCTTCCAGTCCTCTGAGCCCACCAGCGGAGACCCAAAACCCCTGGCCAGAACAGGAAAACAACATAGAGTCCCAGCACCCTGCTGAGACCGACCCGAAATCAGTCCCTAAGGGTGACAGTTTCAGTGATTCTCCTCTGTCTGAGATGCCAGAAACAAGGCTACTCTGTGACAACCTCCCTGGGAAAGAAAAGGCTCCTTCTTTGAGTAAGGTCAGGACATTGCAAAGAAATCCCTCTCGGAAGAGACAAAGGGATGGGAGCCGAGATAGAACCTCAAAGCATCGGAAAACTGGCACTGAGAAGACGAAGCCCAGGGCTGAGCCTGTACCCAAGTCTGATGGGGAGCACAGCAAGGAGTCTGGAAGAGTGGTGGCTCTGGAGGCCCCTGAGGAAGACCTTCTGGGAGAAATGGTTGTGGAGAAGATGGCCAAAACTGTCATCGGGGCCAGAGCCCCCAGGTACTGCCCCCGGGGCAGGGTGGGAAGACAGACTTCAGACTGGTGTCACTGTCTCAGGGCCCAGGGTTCAACAGACAGCAGGGTTTGCTAAGAGTGGTGTAGAACCTGTGTCACACAGGCGGCGGGGCCTCTGGGTCCCTCCCCTTTGGATCTCTTTCAGGACATTCTCCAAGGCCAACGGTAACTTTGTACGTCTCAACTTAAAGAAGAAATGTTATGTTAGGGGCTTTGGTCTGCGGGGTAACCTCCTCCGTAAGCAGGTAAGTGGCCCCTGACCTCTCTGTCTGACCCTGTGTAAGCCACCGACCTCAGCTCAGGCCCACATAGAGAAGCAGATTTCCCACAGAGGCTGGAGATAAAAAGGGTACCAGACCATCTCATGGGAGATCAAGAACCTAGTATGCCCCAAGAATAATTATGCTCCAGAGGCATTGGCCTGATGACAGGCCTGAGCCTCAGATTTACCTCCCTTGTGTCTCCTCGCTGACAGATGTGGAAGAAGAAGTGGCAGATGAAAGGCGAGCAGTTTGGGGGCGGCTGGCCCAGAGATCGGGGGAAAGACTCCTGCTTCAGGTGTGGGGGTGCTGGGCACTGGGCTTCACAGTGCCCTGGAAGAGGTAAGGCCTCACATGCTAACAGGGGGTACCTCTGCCAGGCCTGGTTAAATTCTATTCTAGAATAGCTGTATTACCCACCCCTTTGGGGAAGTCCAAGGGCAGAAGCCCTTTGTGAAGGAAGCCCATGTTCTGGCCCCGCTGAGGCTGGGCAGGGGCAGGACCGTATAATTTAAGGTCCACTTAACAAGTGCTTGTCGAATGCCTGTTCTATAATGGTAATAATTCCCATTTCTGTGGGTAGAGTCTGCTTTTCTTTTCTTTTCTTTTCTTTTTTTAATGTATTTATTTTTAGTTTTCAACATTCACTTTCATAAGATTTTGAGTTTTAAATTTTCTCCCCTTCCCTTTCCTCCCCCCTCCCCAAGACAGCGTGCAGTCTGATAGAGGCTCTACTTACGCATTTATATTAAACATATTTTCACATTGAGACTCTGCTTTTCTTAACATTAGCCTGTGAGGCAGATAGTGCCAGGATTATTTTTCCGTTTTACAAATAAAGCGACCTGAGGTTCAGAGAGATGGCTTGCACAGCTAGTAAATGAGGAACACAGGACTTAAACCCAGGCCTCCTATTTCCGGGTCCATTTTACTTTGGTTGCCATGTTGCCTTCTTATTGTGTTAGTTACTGGGGTAAAAGGGACAAGGACAACAAGCGTCAGACATGATTCCTTCCCTTAGGGGCTTTACAGTCTAGTTCATTCAGGGAACATGAAAGACTAAGGATTAGCACGACTATACACTAGTCTTGGTATGCAGACCTTGTACCAAAGAGAAGGCAGAAAGTAGACCACCTCCCTCTTCCTCTGGCAGTGCCTCCGTGATAGGAACCCCTGCCCCTGTGGCCTATCCTGACCTCTTCCTACCTGGGGAAATTTTCAGGAGGAGGCACAGGCCTTGGTTTGGAGTCATAAGATCAGTTGTCTTCAAAATGGTATCAGTGGCCTGACCCCACGGTGTATGATTAATGAGAAGGTGGGAAGATGAACTGAATCTTGCCCTCGCTGCCGCAGTCAGCGTTTCTCATACAGTCACACCTGTCCTTCACCTGTTATATGTGCACACACGTACACACACACACACACACACACACACACACACACACACACACGCACATCTTCTAAATCCTTCCCATACCTGCCTGGGCAGTTACAACCTACCTGCTCGTCCAGGCCCTCATAATAGCAGCTGCATGGGCACACTAGGATCATTTCTGCCCTCATGCCATCCTGCCTGCCCACCTTCTCTCCCACCTCACCTCGTGGCTGTGGCAGGTGCCTCAAGAGGGCAGGCTTTGCCTTTGGGGACAGTGACCGTGAGTAAAGGCCCCGTGCCCTTCTGCCCCCATTTCTGTTTTGGGCAGAACAGAGTAAATTGTACAATATACATGTGTCTCATTTGTAAATATAAGCATATTGAGGGTTTCTGCTCAAAATATTTCTTATTGATAGGGGTGCACAATCAAAAAAGTTTGGAGGTTATAGTGTTAGAGGATGAGGGTGGGGGTGGGAGGGAGCCTGAGGGAAGGTGAGGGAAATGCTGCAGATAGTTCCTTCCCCCCCAGCTCTCACCTCTCACCAGCCTCCCAAGGAGGGGGACAGTAAGGCCGCTGAAAAGCAGGAGGAGAATGAGGAAGAGCTTCCCCTTCCCACACTGGAGGAGGTGGCACAGAGAGTCAGTACTACCTCCTGCAAGGTCCCTGGTGAGCTGTTTGTGGTACCTGGAGCTGGGCGGGCAGGGCAGGGGTGGGGGTGGAGACAGAACGGAAGAGGCTTCAAAAGCAACATTCACATGGTGAGCAGAGAGGCCTGTGCCTCCTTCCTCCCTACTCTGTGAGGGATCCAGGGTTGTGGGGATCCATTGGCCAGAGGTGGGAACTTCTGTGCTCATTCCCTGCCCTTTGACCTGGCCTTTCTCTAAGGGGACATTCCAAGCTATGAGGGCTCTCAGCCTAAGGGGGGGAGTGGGAGAGGGTGTCCTCTCTTAATGATCCCTCCCTCCATGGGATATACTGGGCTCTGGGGATTGTAGGCAGGGTCTGCTCTGTGTCTGTGCTCTTTCCTTAAAAGGATAACCGTGGCTTTTGGTGTCAGCTTGCAGCCCAAAGATGGCTTTTTCGGTGTTTGAAGGGGTCTTTCTCGTCCTTTCCTTTATCCCAGGGAGTGATGAGTGGAGCAAGCAGTCTCAGCCTGAACAGCTGGTACCTCCAAGGTGGCCAGTGTACGAACCTCCCATTCTTCCCCCTGCTGTGGAGCCACTGTATGGCTTGGGGCCCTCCGGGCAAGTGGCAGGTGAGATGTGTAGAGCTCCTGGGACACAGAGTAGAACAGATGTGATGTTTTCTGTGCATCTGCAGGGGCCGTGGGGCCACAAGCCTGGGATAGCGGGCTGCATTCCATCTAGGGCCTCTGGCTAGCATTGTACACTTACAAGAGGCCACTAGGTGGTGCCATGGATTGCGTGCTCTACATTCAAATGTAGACACTTTGTAGCTCTGTGACTCTAGGCTTAATTACCACTAGATCAAATAGAAAATTGTCTGGATTTAAAAGCTTCTCACAAACTAGTCCCAGCCTACCTTTCCAGCCTTCTTACACATGATTGCCCTCCATTGCCCTCTTGTCCAGCCACGCTGGCCTTGTTCTCCCCCCCTCCCCCACAACATTCCATCTCATGTCTCCATGCCTGTGTACTGCCCCCACACCAGGAACACTTTCACCCTCCCCTTGTGTCTTTGAATCTATTTCCTATAAGAGGCTCAACTCAAGTGGCCCCTTCTGCCAGAAGCCCTTCCTGGGACCCAGCAGCTAGTGCTTTCCCCTCAAAGGGTACTAGGTGTCTGTTCAGTGCTCTTTTTGTTTATCTGTGTGTGTGCATTGTCGACCTTTCTAGAATGTAAGCTTCTGAGGGCAGGAACTCTTTTTCTTCTCTCTTTATATTCTCAACACCTGGCGCAGGGCCTCCCCTATAGTAAGGACTTAATAAATGTTTGTTGACTGAACTACTCTGAAGGCCATGCATGGACCTGACCTGGTTTTGCCTTCTTGTATGCAGAGGCAGCTAGGTGGCATGGTGGATAGAGGGCTAGGCCTAGAGTCCAGAAGACATGAGTTCAAATCCAGCCTCAGACACTTTCTAATTGTGTCACCCTGGCCAAGTCACTTAACCTCATTTGCCTTAGTTTTCTCTACTATAAAAAGGGGATAACAGCAGCAGGTATCTCACAGGACTGTCGTGAGGATCAAATGAGATAATATTTGTAAAGCACTTAGCACAGTGCCTGGCACATAGTGGGGGTTGTGTAAATCTCTTCTTCCCCTAGAGGGCAAGGGTGCTTTGCCAGGTTTAAATCTCTGAGCTCTGCTGATATTGCATTTCTTGCAGAGACCCCATCAGAGGTGTTCAAGACTCTGACCCAGTTTGGTCACCGCGCCTTCCGCCCTGGCCAAGAGGCTGCCATCATGCGGATTCTCTCTGGTGAGCACTTCTCAACAGGACAGTCTCCGTGGCACCAGGCAACCCCTTCCTTGGAACCAGAGAGCTCCAGAGCTGAGACAGGCCCACAGGCTCCTATCCCTCTAGAAACATATCCTTCAGTTTTACTGACCAAGGAGGGCATTGGGACTGGGTCCTATCCCTGATCCCTCATTCTGCTGCTTTCTCCACAAACACAGAGGCCTGAGGGATGAATTGGGATGAGGCAGCCGTGAACCCTCAAGGAAGCTCCCTAGGCCTAGCTGGCTTGTCCAGTTTATGAATCTGAAAAGGGCCATGCCCCAAGCTGGCACCGAGGGACCCTAAAAACAAGACATGGTCTCAGCCGTGACTTATTTGTGGTGGGGCATTAGAGATAATTGGGTGTGGCTGCTCAGTGGGAGAGGTGCCTGGGTCTGCTGCTTCCCTTTCTCTCAGGAGATGGGTTCTTGTGGTGTCTCCCAGGCCTGTCCACCCTGGTAGTGCTGCCCACTGGCATGGGGAAGTCCCTGTGCTATCAGCTCCCAGCCTTCCTCTATGCCCAACACAGCTGCTGCATTACACTGGTTGTGTCGCCCCTCGTGTCGCTCATGGATGATCAGGTGAGCCACAAGCACTAAATTGTTCATCCCTGGGGTGGGAGGACCCCAGAGCCAGACACTACAGACACACACACACACACACACACACACACACACACACTCACGCTTGTATTTGTGTCCTTAAGGGGTCGCCCAGAGGGCTTCAGGGCCCAAGAAGCTTCTTTGTTCTTTAACTCCTGGTACTTCTCTCTGCTCCCTGCCCAGTCCTGATTCTTGTGGCCCCCAAAGCTCTTACTCCTGGAAGCTCTGGCTGCAGGCACCCTGCAGAGCTGCCACTGAACAAAGGTAGTCTCCAAAGAGACTAGCAGTCTCTCCACTTGGCCGACAAACCACCTACTTCTTGGAATCTTCCTCCTTTGTCCCTAGACGCCGTGCCGGGGTTCTCCTCTGTCTGACAACCTCTTGTGCAGCTCTTCTTTTACATGCTGTCCATTAACTGTGGATGTCACAGAGGATTCAACCATAGGTCCTCCCTTCTGGGGAGCACATCTCAAGGAGTTGGTGCTATTCCCACGGTTCCCCGGATCTGGCCAGTCTATGTCCCTCACTGGCTTTAAAAGCTAGCTCAAGGCCCATCCTTTACAAGAAGCCTCTCCTGACTCCTGCTTCTCTATCTGTGTACCCCTAGTGCGGAGGGCCTCCACTTGTCATTTTTTCATCACTCACGTCCACACATTTCTCTGTGTGTAAGCATGTGTATGCACATACCCTCCTGTCTGCCTCACCAGATAGCAAGCTTCTTGGGCAGGGAATGTGCCTTTATTTCCTTTCCTTCCCCATCATGGCCCAGAACAAGGCTGGGAAGCATCAAGTCACTGAAGTGTTTCACCATCCGGAGTCTTTGGGCATCTTATGTTAGCATCCGTGGCCTAAGTCTTGGCCAGGAGTTCTGAGCAAAGCACTGAACTGTACAAGACCAGGAACTTTTGGCTCTGCCCCTGCTTCTCTGGGTTTCCCTAGGGTAGGAGTGAAGCAGGCTCCTCACTGGACTCTATGCCAGTGAGAGCTTGTGAAACCAACAGGTATCAGGACTCCCCAGGGGGCTGAAAGCTGTCTGTGTGCACTCCAACATGACCAGGAAGCAAAGGGAGACAGCCATGGAGAAGGTCAGTAATCTGGGAGGTGGAAAAAGAAGGTGTTTCAGCCTTCCACCCCAAGGAGACCTTGCCTGAGGCTCTTCGCAGGCTGCTGCCTACCTTCCCAGGTGGCCCCAGACCAAACCTGGCCAAAGATGGAAGCCCTGGGAGTTGTTGGCTCCACAGCTCGCATCCAGGTCCCTAAACCCTGCAGACTGTGCAGCCTCTGCCCCACTCAGGCTCTAAAGTCCTACCTGGGAAGGCTGGCCTTATTGGGGGAGTACTGTGGGAGAAAAAGCATGCAGTAAATGTCTGTCTGTCTGTCTGTCTGATTGACTGACCAGGATGGGGCCCCTTGCAGGTGATGACTGGCAAAGTGCAGGTGCTGCTGTTGTCCCCGGAGGCAGTGGTTGGGGCTGGGGCCGGAGGCTTCAGCTGCCTCCCACCTGCAGCCAGCTGCCCCCCGTGGCCTTTGCCTGCATTGATGAGGCTCACTGCCTCTCCCAGTGGTCCCACAATTTCCGGCCCTGCTATCTCCGGCTTTGTAAGGTGAGGCCCTGTGCAGTAGTGGGTGGAGGGTGAAAGAGACAACTAGAAGGGAGGGGGTGTGGAATTACAAGGAAAAATCGAGGTTTCCCCCTGAGAAGCTAATACAGAGACATGACCCTACAACCCATGGTTGGGCTCTTTGAAGATAGGGTTAGAATTATTCAGCTTACCTCCGGATCTTGGCCAACTTTCCTTTGTCAGGTGTTGCGAGAGCGTTTGGGTGTGCATTGTTTCCTGGGCCTCACAGCCACTGCCACCCGCACCACTGCCAAGGATGTGGGCCAGCACCTGGGAATCCCAGAGGAAGCCATCTTTGGGACACACTTGGCCACCATCCCCCCGAATCTACACCTCTCAGTCTCCCTGGATAGAGACAAGGACCAGGTAGGATCCTACCCTACCTCTCGTGAAGGCAAAAGACAGGGTTAGCCTGGCTAGAGTTGGTTCCCTAATCCAGGCTGTGAGGAAACCTGTTGTTCCAGTGGGAAAGGAGCTGGAACAGAAATCCCAGGGCCTGACTAGAGTTTGCTATTACTTTTTTTTTTTTACACTTAATAGTATTTTATTTTTTCCAGTTACATGTAAAGGCAGTTTTCAACATTCATTTTTATAAGATTTTAAGTTCCAAGTTTTTCTCCCTCCCTCCCTTCTCCCCATCCCGACAGCAAGTAATCTGATATAGGTTATACATGTACAATCACGTTAAACATATTTCCACATCAATCATGTTGTGAAAGAAGAGTCACAACAAAAAGGAAAAACCATGAGAAAGAAAAAAGAGAGAGAAAATAATATGCTTCGATCTGTATTCAGACTCCATTGTTCTTTCTCTGAATGTGGTTAGCATTTTCCATCATAAGTCTTATGGAATTGTCTTGGATCATTGCATTGCTGACAAGAGCTAAGTCTATCATAGTTGATCACCATTCAGTGTTGCTGTTACTGTGTGCAGTGTTCTCCTGGTTCTGCTCACTTCACTTAATCAGTTCATATAAGTCTTTCCAGGTTTTTCTGAATTCTGCTTCCTCATTGTTTCTTATAGCACAGTAGTATTCCATTACATTCATATACCACAGCCTGTTCTGCCATTCTCCAATTGATGGGCATCCCCTCCATTTCCAGTTCTTTGCTACCACAAAAAGTTGCTTTTAGTTCTAACTCATCTTGACAACATCCCAAAAGCTGGTTGTGGGAGGCCCCTTCCAGCTCTAACACTCTCTGCACTTGTGCCAACATAAAATTCCTAACATCTGTGAATGATGGGTTATCTCTTCATTTATTTCTCCTCTAAAAACCAAGGGAGTTGCTCAACCCCACACAATAACTATCATTCCTGCAATGCTTTACAGTTTAAAGAGCTCTTTCCTCACAGCAAGCCCGCCAGTCAAGTAGTGTTATCACCATCTTATCCTATGTTTTTAAAATAAAAAAATTTTTGTTCTTTTATTTTTGTCTTATTTTTATTGATGTCTTTTGTTTTTATATCACATTTGTTTCAAAACATATTTCTCCTCCTTCCCTACACAGCAAGTCACCCCTTGTATCAGAGATTTTAAAAGAAAGAGAAAACACAGTTCAGCAAAACTAGCCAGTACATCAGCCCTGTGTGCAATGTTCTGGACCCATAGTCCCCCCACTTGTGCAATTACAGGAGGGAAATGCATTTTTCTCAATTGTCTTCCAGGGCCAAGGCTGATTGTTCTAATTCCACAGTGTTCTGTCTTTTTCTGTCTATTTTTCTTTCTATTTGCACCACTGTCATCATTGTGCATATTGTCTGCTTATTTCTTATTTCACTTTTTTTCTTTTTCTTTTTTTCTTATTTCACTTTGCACCAGTTCACCTAAGTCCTCCTTGCTTCCCTAAATTGTTCATATTCATTTCTTAGGACACAGCAATAACATACATTTTGTTTGTTTAGCCATTCATTCCCCAGTGGCCACCTACTTTATTTCCAACTCTTTGCTACCACAAAAAAGGCTGCTGTGAATTTTTTGATATATGTGGGACCTCCTTGGGGTGTATGCTTAGCAGTGGAACCATCCCCATTTCAAAAATGATATAGAAAAAAAGGGATATAGACGCTCAGAGAGGAACTAACCTCCCCAATGTCACATGACTAGTATCTTGACTCCAGAACCTTTTTTTTTTTTTAACCATGCAGCACACTAGCTCTCCATAATGATCCTTTGTTCTTACTAAACCTAATCTGTGGAGCTCAGCTCCCTGCCTTCACTGAGAAAGAGCTTCTCTGGTTATTGATTAGGCATGATCAGTTTTGTGATCAAAATACCTCTAGAATCTTATCCCTATTGCTTCTGGTACTGGCAAATGAAACTTTTAAGACTGGCCATTTTTCCAGCAAATGACATTTCTCTGCCTTGCCCACGGTCAGGAATTTTTCAAATCCAGCTCCCAAAACAGTGATCACAAGAATTAGAAATCCAAGCACTCACAGCTACTGCATTCTTATATTTGTCCAAAGAACAGATTGGCCATGAGCTACAATCCACTCATCCACAGGCATCTCTGTCATTCACAAGGAAGCACTGTTCAAGGCATATTCCTGGCTTCCCCTGCTTGTTTCTGGACAGGAGAAACAACTTGGCAGGCATCCTTTTGAAACCACTCTTCCGTCTTCAGCTTTTCACAGGCTCCATCCAGTTTCTCCACTTCTGGCAAATGCTTCCAAATCTTGGGTAGCCTACCAACCTCCCTGAAGTGTAACACTGTGTACTGACTGGGGTGGATTAAGTGGGGGATGGAGTGTTCTGCTTGAGTGAGGAAGCCCCTCCTCCAGGCAGGTCCTAGGTCATGTTCCTTGATGGATGCTCTTCCTGGTTGGGGATGATCCACTAATTGGTCAACTAACCAGCACTTATTAAGCACTTACAATGTGCCATGCACCATGATAAACACTACAGGTAACAGGGACAAAAATGTGCTAGATGCTGGTATATAAGGATCAAAAAATTAAGCATTGTCTTCTCTCAGGGAGCTTATATTCTGAGGAGGCAACATATACATATCCAAGGCTTCATGTTGACTGCTACTTGAGTCAAGTCTGAAGGAACTGAGACATTCTCTGAAATAGAGATGGGAAGGAGTGGCATTCTGGGAGTGTGGGATGGCTAGCACAAAGGCATGGAGAAGGGAGATGGGAGATGGGATGTCATGTGTGAAGAGAGAAAAACAATTTGACTAGATCTCAGAATGTAGAAGTGTGAATGTGTGAAGCTCAAAAAATGGGTTGGGGCCAGGTTGTAAAGGACTTTAAATGAAAAGCAGAGGAATTTCTATTTCATGCTGAAGGCAATGAGTTTATTGAATTAGGAGATTAACATGGTTAGGTCTGTGTTTAAGTAAAAATCTCTTTGGCAGCTGTGGAGGATGGATTGGAGTGGGAAGAGGCTGGAGGCAAAGAGATCAATTAGGAGACCATTGCAGTGGTGGAAAAGGGATGAGGGCCTGAACTAAGGTGGTGGCTATGTGAATAAGAGAAATGGTTGGATGCAAGAGATGGTGTGGAGATAGAAATAGTAAGATCTGAGAACCAAAGTTACAAGGCTGGGATGATGGGAGCTTGGTGGAGCCCTTAAGAGAAGTTTGCAAGAGGATTGGTTTTAGGGGGAAAGAAAATGAGTTTATTTTGAACATGTTAAGTTTAAGATGCCTATAGGATGGCCAGTACGAAATGTCTAACAGGCAGTTATTGATGCAGGCCTGGGACTCTGGAGAGAGTACTGGAAGTCATCTGTGTAGGGATGGGAGTTAAACCCATGAGAGTTCTGGTTGAGATGAGATAGTGAAGAGAGAATCTAGAGAGAGAGGAGTAGATAATCCAGGACAGAGCTTGGGGTGTGATATAGATGATGAGCCAGCAGAGGAGATGAGGATAGAATGGTCAGACAGGTTAGATGAGAAACAGGAGAACAGTGGCACCCAAAGAGGATATCCAGGAGGAGATGGCTGTTAACAATATCAAATAAATAAAGATATAGAAGTATGAAAACTGGGACCAAATCCTCTGCTTTGGCAATTAAGAGATGCCTGGTGGCTTTGGAGAGAGCAGTTTCATTCCAGTGATGAGGTTGGAAGTCATATTGCAAAGGGATAAGGAGAAGAGTGAGAGGAGAGATGGAGCCAAGATGGCGGAGTTAATGCAGGGACTTGCCTGAGCTCTCCCTCAATCCCCTCCAAATACCTTTAAAAATGAACTCTAAACAAATTCTAGAGCAGCAGAACCCACAAAAAGATGGAATGAAACAGATTTCCAACCCAAGACAACTTGGAAGGTCAGCAGGAAAGGTCTGTTCTACCAGGTTGAGAGAGGAGCTCAGTCCAGTACAGGCCGCACCAGCACAGCCCCGGCCCCACCAGGAGCAGTCCTTGGGAGTGATTGAAGTGGCAGTGGCAGTAGGTACTTTAGGGGCTCTCAGGCCACAGACAGTAAAGGGGTCAAACAACTGCTCAGAAAGAGATTACAGGGGTCTCTTTGCTAGCCCTGAGGCAGGACTCTGTTGCTTTGCCCATACACGGATCCAGCTCCCAGTCCTGGGTGGCAGTCTCGGGGTGAGGGGGAGCACTAGCATAGCAGAGGGTCCCACTGCCTTGGAATGGGTGACCCTCCAGTACCCTCTTCTCAGTCCCAGGGCAGAAAAGAGTGCTTGTGGCTGCTCACAGATCAGAGCACAGGCCAGGAGAAGAACAAACACCTCTCCTTAGATCATACCACCTTGGAAGAACTGAAAACTTACAGATCGTAGAAGATCTCTGAAAATGAGTTACACAAAAACCCCTGAAGCTTGAAACAGTGTGCCCTCCACCGTAGAAGACAGAGCCCTACTTTAACAAAGAATTCCAAGTTAAGTAATAGGCTGGGAAAATGAGCAAACAACAGAAAAAAACTCTGACTACAGAAACTTACTTTGGTGACAAGGAAGATCAAAACACATACTCAGAACTCAACAAAGTCAAAGCTCCTATATCCAGAGCCTCCAAGAAAAATAGGAATTGGTCTCAGGTCATGGAAGAGCTCAAAAAGGATTTTGAAAGTCAAATAAGACAGGTAAAGGAAAAATTGGGAAGAGATATGAGAGTGATGCAAGAAAATCATGAAAAATGAGTCAGCAGCTTGGTAAAGGAGACCTAAAAAATGCTAAAGAAAATAACACCTTAAAAAACATACTAGGCCAAATGGTGGAAGAGTTCCAAAAAGCCGATGAAGAGAGTATTGGGTTAATGGTTGAGATGGGCAAGGGAGGAAAGTAAAATTTCAGCAGGGATAATAGCATAATAAATATTAACTTTTGCTGAGCCTTCCCTGAAAGTCCCCAGTGCTTTCTCTATACCCTGGGAAAAGTTCTAATTTTCTAAGTGTCTCCCTCATTACCTTCGTACATCCAGATGTTCAGCTGTTCCTTGTCATTAAGTGTTCTTGTTTTCAGGCCTTGGCTACCATAGAAAGTGCCGTTATTCTTTTCAGTACATGAGACCGTTCTGTTTTTTATTTCCGTGGTAGTGAGATTCCCAGGTTCCTCATTAAATTCTTAATGGCACTTTGTTCCTTGCATCATGATTTGTGTGCTAGTCCTTCCTCCTATTAGATTGTAATCTTCTTGAACAAGGTCTGTATTGTATCTGCCTTTGTATTCCCAGGACTTACTTACCAAAGTGTCCTACACACAGGATGAACTTAATAAAATTAGGCTGCAAGAATGAGTGGGACTTACCATGAATACTTTCTTCATCTTAGGATAGAAAGGCTCTTCTAAGAAGGAGGTCTTAAGGTCCAAAAATTTGACCAAAGTGTACTCCTTGGGGCTTCATGTTAACCACAGCTTTGGGAAAGGGGCCCACTTTATTTGGACAATGATTATTGGTTAACCGGCTGAAAATTCCTTTCATTCTTAGATTGGGAAATATCCAGGGAATGATCTGTACTCTCTCTTTCTCTCTTCCAGGATCTTGGGTGCATGTGTTCTTCCTAAGTCTGGCCTCCATCACCCAGGAGCACTTTCCCACCTTTAGATGCCCCCATACTCCCTCCCCACCAGTGGCTCACTATCCATGCGGGTCACCCATCCCTACCTGATGGCTCCTCCACTTTTTCAGCCTCCACCAACAGTAGCAGCCTTATGACCCCATTTGGCATATTCTCTTTGGCTTATGGGATTGAATTTCCTTCAGTTTACAATCAGAGCCTCCCATCCTAGCTTTACTTAGTTTGTGCCAGTCTTTCTAAGAAAGAGTTAAGGGAGAAGCCTCCTGAGTGTAAGAATTTCTGGTATCATTCTCTGTAGAATCTTTGTAACGTTTTTTTATTGAAGTGAGGAAGCCTAGGTTTGGGGCTCTGTTCTGTGACTACAACTTCATTCTTCCAAACTCTGGCTTTCTTGTCTATAAAGCTGAGGTAACAGTACTTACACTAGCTACCAAACTGGGTGGTGGGGAGGCAAGTGTTTTGCAGACTCCAAAGCATCCTGTGAATATGAGCTGTTCTGCTTAAGAGAACACAGGATACCTGATGCTGTACCCAGCCGCCATTGCTTCTTACTCCTCAAGAGTTACCATGACCTCTTCTACAGCTGGTGTATTTCCTTCCTATCTGTTGGCCAGTACCCTGCTAATCTCGGGATCCTAACTGTTTTAGGGTGTTCCCTCACCCTCTTCCATTGGTGCAGCTGTGGTCTCAGCCTTCAGAACCTCCAGTTCAGAAAAGACAAGAGCTCCTTTAGGGACAGAGGAAGCATCTGCCAGTTGGCTCTGTCTTCTACTAGCAAAACATATGTCTATGCTACTCTCCCTCCCCTATTTGACTTCCTAAAGCCAATTTCCTCATCTCTGGCTAATGTCTATATCCTCCAAAAGACTTTGTAAACTTATTTCCTACTACTTACCACCAGTACTCTGTGCTTCAGCCAAACTGGACCACTCACCTTAGAACCACTCACTCGCCTGGATTCTGGCTGTAGCTTCCTCTTCCCATCCATCCTTCACACTCTGCCAGACAAATATTCCTTCTGCATAATCTTAAGTCAGATGTCTATGGTGCTGTCCTCACAACAGCCCTGTGAGGTGTGTGGTGCAGGTATCATTCTCATTTTCCAGAGGAGACTGGGACTCTGAGAGGTTGTAGCTTGCCTACAATCACACTTAGTAAGCCCTTAAGACAAGACAGGCTACTCCCATATCTAGAATGCACTCCATCCTCACTCCTCTGCCTCTTAGAATCTATTCCAAGGTTGCAAGCCTAGGTGACGTGGAGGATGGTGGTACCAATGATAGAAGCCAGCTTGGGTTTTGAGGGAAGTTGGTAAATTCTATTTGAGAACTGCTGAGTTGGAGGGACCGTAGGAGATGTCAAGCAGATAGTTGGAACTGTGGACCTAGAGCCAGATATATTACTACTGAGACTGCATTTTGCATTCTAAGGCTCAAGTCTGTCAGAAATGAATGTATTTAATTATGCTTAACTCCACATCCAAGCCATTTCTAGTTTGGAGAGAGAAATATGACTGCCAACATGACCCTCTGCCCCAAGATGATTTTAGGTAATATTTACAGGAATATTGAACAAGGGAAAAATATGTTAAAACAGAATGTGGGTAAGAATTTAAGAAGAGCTAAGAAATCAAGTCCCTATCTCATTCCTCTTGAACCACTCCCCTCAAAGAATCAATGGGGCCCTTCCCAAAGATAAATTGAAAATCTAAATTGAATAGGAGTTTGAGAGGATCAGCCTGACTTTCAGTGGCAGAGGGCAATTCCCTGGTTGGGTCCAAACCCTCATCCCCTCAGGGGTGGGAAAAAGCAATGATCTTAGAGTCAAGATTAGCTCTCATCCTTAATCCAGTTCTAAAAAAAACCCAAAAAACTCCACAACTTTTGTTCTACACGTTGGCTCAAGAAGAAAAAGTCTAGAAAGGATTTTAGGCTGGAGAAGTATAATTTCATAATATTTCTAGAGAAATGAAAAACATTAAATGTGCTTCCCCAGGTTACACCCAAGTCTGATTCCGTTCAGCCCTAAGAGAAAGGTCCTTTCTTTACATAGGCCCTTGTGACCCTGCTACAGGGAGAACGGTTTAGAGCTCTAGGCTCCATCATTGTATACTGCAACCGCAGAGAAGAGACAGCACGTGTAGCTGCACTGATCCGGACTTGTCTCCAGGAGTCTCAGAACCTAGAAAGTCCTGAGGATTCCTCAGGATCCAGAGGTAAGGCCTTGAGGGAAATGGGTCCTGAGTTTGGTATTGCCTCAGCACCAGATGATAGCATTGAGAGCTAAACTGAAGCACTGATGATGATGGTACCACAAAGCTTGCAAAGCACTTTAATCTCATTTGGTCCTTACAACAATCCTGGGAGGTGGGTGTTGTTTTTATCCCTACTTTATAGTCTAGGAAACTGAGGCAGAAAGCTTAAGTGACTTGCCCAATGTCACACAGCCAGTTAGTGTCTGAAGCAGGATTCAAACTCAGGTCTTCCCAACAGGCCCTGTGGCTCTCCCCTGCATCATCCGGTCTAACCCCCTCATTTGACACATCAGTTAACCAAAGCCCAGAGAAGTGAGATAACTTGCCTAATAAGGTTAAGAATGGGGAAAATACTCTATTCCCACCAGCCTTGGTGTGTGATTAAGGAAGAGAAATGGTTCAGATTTGCTCCTACAGTAAGACATACTGGTTGAGAGAGAAGTAAAGGTAGCTTTAATTAAAATCATAATAACAGGTATAGGAAAGCTGGATTTACAGCAACATACAATTAACAATACAACTATAGTTAGGCTAAGAATACAAACAATAGCAATAATATAAGAAAACATCACCAATTTGGGGAATTACCAACACCTGAAGTCCACGCTGGGGATTCCCAGGGTACAAGTTTCAGGGTCCCAGTTGGGAAAGTCCCAGGCAGAGCTCCTCTCCATGGGTGAGAGTCCAAAGATGGCTTTCCCAATTACGGTTTAAATAGGGCCTGTAACAAAGAGGTGTCCATGATTCTAGTAGATGTTTTTACTTGCTCCAGGGACTGGCCGAGTTCCTGGAGCAAGCAAAACATCTTAGAATATTAATTAACTTGGTATGTTCTGATGAACTGGCCAGGTTCCCAGAGCCCATCTTTTCCTGAGAACTGGCTAAATTCTCAGGTCAACATAGATGACCACACTCTGGCTTATAGCCCAATGTTTAGAGTCATACAGGGGACACGGATGATCTTTCCTGATAAGATTTATCAGTCACTTGGTTGGTTCTAGTCCTAGTCTTCGCCCTTCCCCCAAGAGAAGAAGCCAAGTATACAGGCTCAGCCAAGGTGAGGAGAGTCCCAAGGCCCTAGCTTCCCATGTCCTGGTCTGACCCCTGGACCCCCAAAGCATTCTTCCCTAGGTCAGAGCCAGAGCTTTAGGCCAAAGCCCAAACACACGCCTGTTGGGGAAGGGGAGCTCTGTTCCCAAAGTTGCCTTTGCCACAAAGCAGGGATTCTGATCCTGCTTCTGCTCCCCTAGGAATCCTCCTTCCCTGGTCTGGCCTCTAGGCACTGTAATGTAGCGGAAAAAGGCACCAAAGCACCCGAGTCTGAGTTTCAGCACCTTGTAAGGAGCCTTGAGCCTGGAACCAGAAGATCAGAGTCTGAATTCCAGCTCTGAAAACTACCAGCTGTGTGACTGTAGAGGAGCCCCCTCACTTCTCTGTCACCACCTTTGTTAAAAGAGGAGTCTCTACTAGATGGTCTCCAAATTCTGAGATTCCAGGATTCTCTCCAAGCATGTGTCCTCCTGTGTCAAATGGAAATAATGCTCTCTGTACTAAAGTGCTGTGTAAATACTGTGATCACTATCATCGCAATTCTTTGTGCATGTGATTTGTTATTAATAAACCAGCCTCCCAGTGTCCCTGTTCCTTTTTGCAGGGCGGCTGCCAGAGGCTGTGGCAGAGGCATATCACGCAGGCCTGTCAGCGTCGGAGCGTCGGAGGATACAGCGGGCATTCATGCAGGGCCGGCTGCGGGTGGTGGTAGCCACAGTGGCATTTGGGATGGGGCTGGACCGGCCAGATGTACGAGCTGTGCTGCACCATGGGCTCCCTGGAAGCATTGAGAGCTACGTGCAGGAGATTGGGCGGGCTGGGCGGGATGGGCTGCCTGCCCACTGCCACCTCTTCCTGCAGCCCCAGGTCAGTCCCCAGTGCCTGGCTTTGTTTATGTCCTTCAGTACTTCCCCTCAGTTCCACGTAGGCCTTGGGAGGCATGGTGGTGATGAGCCCCACCTCTGAAGTCCCTGTACCTGGGCCCTGCCCCATGACCCACTTGCACTACTTTAGGATTCACGATGTTGGGCATTCCTTGGCTCCTCTTCAGTAAGAACATCTGGGAAGAAGGTTGCCTGACCCACTTTCCTCCTCACTACAGGGAGAAGACCTTCGAGAACTGCGCAGGCACATCTATGCTGACACTGTAGACTACCTGACCCTCAAGAAACTGGTGCACAGGGTGTTTGCCCCATGCATCTGTTCAAAGCTTCTCCAAAAGCTGCAAGTGCTGGTGGGTTTGAGGACGGGAAGACGATCAGTACAGCAGTCCACGTCCCACCTCTTTCCAAGCTGAGCCTTTGGGAGCAAGAGGGATCCCTGTGGGATGGGGACCAGGGGGTCAACACAGGTGCTTCTTCAGTCCCTTGGTGTCCTGCAATCCTATGGGTAAGGATCTTCACTTGGGGAGGCCTCCTGACTTTGTTGGGGTGGGGAGGTGTCTTCCTGTAGATGCTGAGGTGAGCAGTGGGGAGATGCTGGAGGCCCCGGAAAAGAGCTCTACTCACTACAGGCAAGAGATGCAGGAAGTGCCCAACTCAGGACGAGAGGGAATGCAGAATGCTGGTCCCCAGGAAGAAAGTGAGGTTCCTGCCAATGTGCAGAGAGCCTGCCCAGGCCATGAGCGTGCCCTCTCTGTTCAGCAAATGGTGGAGGCTCTGGACATGCGTGAAGAGGGTAAGACCCTGAAATTTTGTCTCCTGGATAGACAAGCCTGGTTTCCCTTAGTTATTATGAATAATGATCTCCTATTTCTGTGGTTCTTTCAACCCTATTAAAAGTAATACAAGTGTTATAGATGAGAATATGGAAGCTTGGGAAAGTGAAGTGACTAGCCCATGGTTACTGTCAGAAACAGGACTCAAATGCCCCAGCATCCTGTCCTCGGAGAACAGTCTTCTTCTCCCTATTACATCACTCATTTCAGAGGATTATAGAATGTAGACCTGGAAAAGACTTTAAAAGGCCATCCAGTCAAGTCAACAAGCATCAATTAAGTACTTACTGTGTGTGTCAGGCCCTGTGCTAAGCACTGGGGACACAACCAAAGGCAAAAATACATATATCTCCACTGTCAGGAAACTCAACAGACTAATGGGGGAGCCAGTATACAAACAACTGTGCCAACAAGATATATTTTGGATAAATTAGAGATAATCAACAGAAAGAAGGCACTACTATTAAGGGGAATCATGGAAGATTTCTCATAGAAAGTGAGATTTAATCTGGGCTGTGAAGGAAGCCAGGGAGGGAAAGGGAGAGAATTCCAGGCGTGGGGGATAGGCAGTGAACGTGGACATGGAGGGCAGCTAGGTGGCGCAGCGGATAGAGCACTGGCCCTGGATTCAGGAGGATCCGAGTTCAAATCTGGCCTCAGACACAACACTGACTAGCTGTGTGACCCTGGGCAAGTCACTTAACCCCACTGCCTAACCAAAAAAAAAAAAAAAGAAAGTGGACGTGGAGAAGGTGAAGTGTCATGTGTGAAGAGCTGCGAGGAGGCCAGTGTCACTGCATCACCCCACTGCATGGGGGGGGTAAGGCCAGGTTATGAAGACAGAAGATTTTATATTTGATCCCAGAAGTAAGAGGAGCCACTGGATTCTGCCGAATAGGGAAGGTGACAAGGTCAGACTTGTGGCAGCCCGACGGCAGAATGGAGGAAGATGAGAGACTTGAGGCAGGGAGGCCAGCCAGCAAGAGTCCAGACGTGAGGCGATGAGGCCTTGCATCTGGGTGGTGGCGTGTCAGAGCAGGAACGAGAGATGTTATAAGGGTGGAACTGACAGGATCTGGCAACAGGTTGCATAGGGAAAGCAAGAGGGAACAGTGGAGGAGGAACCCAGGTTGTAAGGCAGGGTGACTGGGAAGATGCTGGTGCCCTGGATAGTGCCACTAAGATAGGAACAGTAGGAAGAGGGAGGTGTTTGGGAGGAAAGATAAAGGGGTTGTTTTGGCCATGTGGAGTTTAAGGTATGCATGAGGCATCTGATGGCACTGAAGATGGCCAGATATGTAGATCAGAGAGTCATCTGCGTAGAGATAATTGAATCTGTGGGGGCTGATGAGATCACCAAGGAAAATAAGTATAAGAGGAGTCTTGAGGGTACCCACAGTTAGTAGGCATGATCTGGAGGGAGATCTAAGAGAGGAGACAGGAAATCTAACCCCTCATTTTGCACATGAGAATAAAAGAATTGAGGAAATTGGCCCAGAGAGGTAGGGGATTTGACTCCAGTGATGCAAGTAGCATCCACATTGATCAACCTTTCTCTGCTGCCTCCTCCTTCCTGCCTATGAAACCGGCCCCTAGTCAGAGACAGAAGAACCGGAAGCAGCCCTTATCTGTCAGTAGCCTATGGGAAAGGGCAAGACCTGGGCTCGAGGTCTCATTCCTCTCACAGCTGCTCCCTTTTTGCACTTTGCCAGCCATTGAGACGCTGCTCTGCTATCTGGAGCTGCACCCTAGAAATTGGCTGAAGCTGCTGGCCCCGACCTTTGCCACTTGCCATTTGAAATGCTACGGTGGGCCCCCGCAGCTCCAGGCCTTGGCCAAGAGGTAAGGAGATCATGTGGCCAATATCCTACAAGAGCTGGATGGCTCTGAATTACAGCTGCCTCTGGCTTGAGATTCAGCCTCATACTGTTGGCTTTGGGTGGGAGGATGCCATTGAATAAAGGTAGGTGGCATGTCTGGCATCACCTAGAGGACCAGGGCAGGTGTCTTTTTTTTTTTTTTGGTGGTAATGGTTATTTTAGGGGCAGCTGGGTGGCAAAGTGGATAGAGCACCAGCCCTGGAGTCAGGAGGACCTGAGTTCAAATTTGGCCTCAAATACGTAACACTTACTAGCTGTGGGACCCTGGATAAGTCACTTAACCCCATTGCCTAGCCCCCCCAAAAAAAGAAAAAGAAAAGAATGGTTATTTTAGGGGCCAAAGACCAAGGCAAGCCCCCTTCTCCCTCTTGCCCCATGGCAGGTGCCCCCCAGTGGCTGTGGGCCTTGCTCAACAGCAGGCAGCTGCCAAAGGCAGGAGCTCCCTAGACTTCAACGTGGTGGAGCTGGCTGACTCCATGGGCTGCAAAGCAGCCCTTGTGCGGCAGACACTAAACCAGCTGCAATGGGAGGCGGCTCCTGGAAAGGGTAAGGGATATATGTGAGCTCTTCCCCTATATGTACCCTGCCTCCCCTCCTGTAGCTTGTCCTCTTCTCTGTTCAACCTTTGTTGGGGTGAAGCTCCCTTTTCTCTAGATAGTTACATTCCACATGGAAAAAGACTTTGTGATAGGGGCCTCTTGGGGGGAATGGGAACAGGAGGAATAGGCTATGTCTGGGACAGGACCTTTGGGCAGTTAGGATTAAGAGCAGACCATTCCCAGGTGACCTGAGTAAGCCCTGTGCCTTCCCTTGATGTAGGAGCTCCTCGTCGTACAGGGGTCCTGGTGGAGTTTAAGGACCTGTCATTCCACATGCAATCCTCAGGGGACCTGACAGCCACTGAGCAGGATGAAATCTGTGACTTTTTGCACCAACGTATCCAAGCCCGAGAAAGGGAGGCTCTGGCCCAGTTACGGGCCACTTTCCAAGCCTTCCAAAGGTGAGGAGAAATTAGGCGCCAGGGACTGAAGGCAGTGTTGGCCCTCCACCTCTTCTGAAAGCCTTCTCTCCTCCCTGGAGGCTGGAAAGAGTGTCAGAGTCCTACCTCTTCAATGCACTATACAGTAGCTGGGCTTCAACTGGGTAGGGTTAGAACCACATACTGGCAGGTGGAACATCTGTGCCCATCACTTAGAAGCCCTGTGACTGTTTTATTTAGCATGTGTCCTGCCCTGCTTCTTAGGGTAGCGTTCCCCAACTGTGGGCCCTGCATGGAGTGTGCAGATGAAGGAAGGAGTGAACAACTGAAGATCCTGCTCAGCCGTTACTTTGAGGAGGGGACAGCAGCACTTTTTGAGGGTCCATTCAGGGAAGACAGTGAGCAGGACCATGACTTTGGTCAGGCCAGAGTGAGTATTACCAATCTCCAAATTCTATGGCCACTCCCTTGGAAAAGAACGTAAACTTGGCTGCACTGTGGGAGACAGAAAATGATGGGCCTTCTCAGGGAGGCCCCAGGCCAGTGGGAAACACATGATTTACCCACTTACTCAGTTTGAAATGTGTGTATTACTGGAATAAAGGTGGTCAGAGGGTCTTTATGGAAGAAAGGCAAGAATCTTAGAAGGTGCAGAAGCAGGAATAAGCCTGATTTGTAAGTGGGAGGTGACCATGAGACCAGTCTGATCAGAGAAGGCCTACTGAGAATCAGTAAATTGGGAAGGGGGAAGGGGCAGTAAGCGGGCAGGTAGGTGATACAGTGGATAGAGTGCCAGGCCTGAAGTCAGAAAGATTCATCTCCCAGTTCAAATTTGGCCTCAGATACTTCCTAGCTGTGAGAACTTGGGCAAGTCACTTAACCCTATTTGCCGTGGCTGAAATGACTAAACAACAACATAATTAAGCTGGAAATTGCTCTTTAAGATTCTATCCATTAGTGGCAGCTAGGTGGTGCAGTGAGCCCTGGAGTCAGGAGGACCTGAGTTCAAATCTGGCCTCAGACACATAACAGTCACTAGCTTGTCACCCTGGGCAAGTCACTTACCCCACTGCCTAACCAAAAAAGAAAAAGAAAAGATTCTATCCATTATTTGGTCTGGCACACTTGCCTAGAGCCCTAAGTCTTCTGGCTGTCTGGTGGGAGGGGATGTGAAGGTCAGCCTGGCCTAACTCCTCTCTATTTACCCTCCTGTGCACTTAGCTCCAGGACTGGGAGAGTTCCATATGCTCTGACATTCGCCATTTGCTATCCATCCGGCAGGAGGAAAAGTTCTCAGGCAGAGCTGTTGCCAGGATCTTTCATGGCATTGGTGAGAGCTGGGCCTCCTGCACTCATAATGCCTGTTTGCCTTCTTGTCATTCCCCTTCTCTAGGACCCAACCCAATGTCCCAGGGGCTGTTCTTAGCACCAGCTCCCCTGAGAGGAATTCTCACTTTCTCTGGGTCCACAGGGGACATCAGCCTGGATGGGACCATTTCCATTCCCAATGTGACAGGGTGGTGATAAGCTCCTTGGTCCCGGGTCTTATGCCACTGTGCCCCATCTCATGCCCACAGGAAGCCCCTGTTACCCAGCAGAGGTGTATGGGCAGGACCGGCGATTCTGGAGGAAATACCTGCATGTGAGCTTCCCCAGCCTCCTCTGCCTAGCCACAAGAGAGATTCTTGCCTGGAAGCAAGCCTGAAAGGGCCTCATCCCATCACTCCCATCAGACAGTTGCTGCCATCCTCATCGAGGAAAACTGTTGGCCCATCTGCCAGGAAAGAGGCATGTGGTACTGGACTGGAAACATGCCCCAACTACCATTCACTGTCTAAGAGGAGAAAGGACAATCGTCGAAGCCAGAAATAAAAAGCCCATGGATTTTTTTTATTGATGCTGAAAATAGGTCCCAGGGCCCAGCCCCAGTTTGGGGTGTGAGAAGCAGGGGATGAGGGAGTGTTCCCTTCATTTCCTTTCCTTGTTCAACCCAGGTTACTGGGAGCTAAGTCCAGATAGAGCAGGCTGCCAGGGAGAGGGCAAGGAAGAGTGTGAAGCACAGCCCCAGACCCAGCCCATCTGCCAGGGCTCCAGCCCCTGTGGTCAGCAGCAACTTCCCCAGCAGCTCCAGTGTGGCCAGAAAGCTGTAGTGAGTGGACTGGGGAGAGCAGAGGACAGAGCCTAAAGGGACCCCAAGGCCCACAATGCACCACTATCTCCCCTACCACCATTCCTAACAGGCACCTCCCCTTCCCACAGCAGCAGGGCTCCCTTGGGCACTGCAAGGCTCTCAGAATATATGAGTTCTTCTGCCATTTGGGGGGAGTAGTGGTGCCTTTATTTGAGGCCTTTGTCATCTTTGGCAAGGAGCAGCCTCATCTCCATTTAAAGGAGCCTGTACCTTAAAAAGCCAGGTCAGTCCAGGGGACCCAAGAATATCACCTCCCACACACACCCAGTACCTGGATGGAGCCATGTGCTCGCTGGCTGCAGTGCATCATAAGAGCAAAGGTGATGGTCACAGTGCCACTCAGAAAGTGCTGGGGACAAGGCTCACCAAAGCAGCTCCTGAGGAGGATGAAGGGTCAGTGCCAGCTAACAGTCCCCTTCCATCCTTCAGTGTCTCCCCAAAGTCTGCCCTGAATGATTCCCACCATCCATAGCCCAGTCCCTTTCTACAGCATCTCTACCTGTATTCAATCCCTGTGTTCTTCCTTACCTTTCAAGAGGCCCCCCAGGCTGGAGCTAGGCAAGCAGGAGAGCAGAGCTATCTGCAAGGCCAGGGCCCCAATGCGAAGCTGCAGGAGGGGCTTCAGGAGAGGCAGGGGCTGCCTAGGCAGAGGTAGAGGAGGGGCTCAGTGAGGTCGGCCTTGACCCAACCTCCCCTTCATCCCTCACCTCTATCCTGCTTTTCTCACCTGTGCCTGGCAAGAAGAACACCACCCAGGGAAGAACCAGCGATGGAGAAGCCCACAGCCACCATCCCATTCCACAGCCCCACTTCTGCAGCTGACACACCCTGGTCCAGCAGAAAGAGAGGGAACAGGCTGATGGCACCCTGTTCACCTGCGCGTGAGACAGATGTAGGACATGATGGCACAGCTGAGCAAGGGCTCTCAGGCCTCCACCCTCCTCCAGGAACCTTTCCCTCACTGCTACAGGATCTCACAGGAGTTGGGATTGCAAAAGACCAGAAGTCAATCCCCTGATCTTACAAAAGGAGGCCCAGGGAAGTGAGTGGTCCAGGGGCCCACAGCTGCTTAGTGGCAGGGCCAGGGTCCAAACTCTGGGCCCCTGATACCAAATCCAGTGCTCTTCATCACATCACGCCGCTCTCTGGAGAAGGGGGATCTCAAAACTGGTAGTCCAGTCAGGCCTGGAAAAGCTTTTAAAGACCACTCAGTCATAGCCCCATTGCAGAGGGAAACCAAGGTTCACAGACAGGAAGGGAACTGCCTGGTCACATAGCAAATGAGGGGCTGAACGAGGCTTTTCCCCAACCAAACTGCCCCTTTTATGAATGGGAAACTGAGGCCCACAGGAGTTGCCCAGGCCAGGACCGAGAGCCTGACACTCACCTAACTTGTAGAGAAGGACAAATCCGGCGGTCCACGGGGTCCCCGGCACGGCCAGGAGGGCTCGCCACCCAAGCTGGGGGTGGCCGTGGCTCTCCTGGGCCCGCGGGGGTGGGAGCTGCAGGGCAGGGGCCCCCCAGGCCAGGGCGGCCAGCCCATAGGCCGCCGCCAGCCCCACAAAGAGGGGCCCCCACGTGAGGTCGGGGGTGACGGCCAGGAGCCCCCCGCCGGCCAGGGCGGCCCCAGCTTGTAGGCCACCACCTGCACGCTGTTGCCCGGGCCCAGCTCGGCAGGGGCCAGCAGCCGAACGGCCAGCCCGTCTAGCGCCACGTCCTGCACCGCGGCCCTGCGTTCAACAGCAGCAGCAGCGCCACGGCCCCGGCGGGCAGCCCCGACCCGGGGGCAGCGCCGCCAGCAGCGAGCACAGCAACCCCAGTCGCGGTGCTCAGGGCCAGCCAGGCCCGCGGGAGCCGCACCGGTCCACCAGCGGGCCCAGGCCACCTTGAGCAGCCAGGGCGCGTGCAGGGCGCGGGTCAGCCCCACGCGGGTCAGCGACAGCCCGTGCGAGCGCAGCAGCAGGGGCAGCAGCCCCGCCTGCAGCCCGTGGGCAGGCCCTGCACCAGGTACAGCAAGCCCAGCAGCGCCAGCTTGCCCCCCATCGGAGGCCACCGCGGGTCAGGGGTCACGGTCACGGTCAGGGTCTGCCCCAAGGGGAGCCCGTTGTGGGGGTGGACGGGGCTTCTATGAGGAAAGGCTGACGCTAGGACTCCCGCCATGCCGGTGCCCGCCGGGGGCTACCGTGGCCAGGCGTTCTGCAGAGACGGAAACAGGAGCCGGGACCAGTGGAAGGGACACCTCTGCCCTTCACCGGGTCAGGACGAGCTCCATGGGACTTTCCGCCTTCGCGGTCCTCCAAGGCCATAGAGTACGGGGGCGGGCTAGAAGGTCCCCATGGACTTCCGGCCGGCCGGAAGAGCCGCTGAACGGATTTCCGGAGGGCAGCTGGCTCTTTTGTAGGCGCAACTTTTGCGGCTCTGGAGGCCTGATTACTCCCTTCTCGTTTTCGCCTCTTGGAATTCCTGATTTCCTTCAAGACTCAGCGCGAGTGCCACCTTCTGTGCCCCTCCCCCACCCCACCAGATGCAGGTGCAACCCCTTTCCAGAGTACCTCCTGTTAGTCACTTTGCATACCTTAATGCCTGTGTCATAAGTATTACACGTGTGCAAGTGTTGTGAGCCCTATTGGAATGGAAGCTTCCTGAGGGCAGGGACTGCTTCACTTTCCCTTTTGTGTTCTTAGCACGTGAGGATTAATAAATTGATTGTTCTCCCTGACTCAAGTCTTCCCCAGCCAAACTGTCCTCCCAAGAGCTGGCAAAGTGATTTTCCAAAAGCACCAGTCTGCTGAGGTCACTGCCTGCTTGGACTCTATGGTTTCCCTACTGCCTTCTGAATCAAGTAGAAACTCCTCAAATAAATGGTTGTTGAGTTGTTTTGAGTCGTGTCTGCCTCTTTGTGACCCCATTTAGGGTTTTCTTGGCAGAGATACTGGAGTGGTTTGTCATTTCCTTCTCCAGCTCATTCTACAGATGAGGAAACTGAGGCAAACAGGGTTAAGTGACTTGTCCAGGGTCACAAAGCTATAAGTGTCTGAGGCTGGATTTTAACTCAGGAAAGGTCTTCTTGACTCTAGGCCCAACAGATATGTATATGTGTATGCTCACACACACACACAGACACACACATAAGTATATGTATATGTGTGTGTACATACCTTTCTTCCACTCTATAGACAACCAAACTGGCTTTCTTGCTGTTCCTCAGGAGTCACAAAGTCACGTGCCCCTTTATTGCTCTTCCAAAGAAGTAGGGGCACCAGAACCTCTTCAATATCTTTATTAGGATGCCCTGTAAAAAGGGCTTGGGGGTTCAGTCCCTCCACCCAGTATCTCCCAAGGATCACTGTGGCTCTCACTTAGGATCCTCAGAGAGATGCCAGGGACCACGCCTCTCTCCAAGTCTGTGCACACCTCTGGGCACTGTCCACCACCCTGTATTTCTCACCCTCTCCCCAACAGCCCCCAGGGAAGGGAGAGGGAGTCACAGGGAAAGGAAGGAAACATAAACAGGCAGGGTCCCAAGAGCTATTTGCAGAGAAGAGCTGGATAAGGGACAGGCAGAAGTAGGTCCCCACCCCTCTTTCCCCTTCAGTCTCTGTCCATTAGGAATATTCCTGAGTAAACTTGGCATAAAATTGGTTCAGTTTCTTTAGAAGATCTTCAGCTTCTCCGAAGGGGAAAATGGTCATCCTGGGGGTGGAAGGGAAGGGGGGGAAAGGTGAGTGGTTAGATCTCCCCTCAGTGCTCTGGAAGGGGCCCTTCAGTCAGTGGCTTGAAGCTCTCAATGGAACCCCCCCACCCTCTACCTGAAGTGGTAGGTGCCTTCCTTCTGGCCAAAGCCACTGCCAGGCACCACGCAGATACCAGTCTCCTCCAGGAGTTGTTTGCAGAAGAACATATCAGCAGGCTGGCCCAGCTCCTGGGCAGCAACAGAGAGGAGACAGAAACATGGACACGGACACATGCACACACACGTGCACACACACACACACACACACACACACACACACACACACACATCAGGGATCAAGACCCTTAAGTTCAACCCACCCCAGCCCTTCATAGCCCTTCCCCACTCCCCACCCCAAGGGGGGATTGCCTCACACCTTTGCACGCTGCAGTGCTTTGGGGGGTAACTGGATGTGAGGGAAAGAGTACATAGCCCCTTGCACTGGGTTACACTGGATGCCAGGTTGCTTGTTTAAAATCTTCATGAGTTGGGCCTTCTCTGCCAGCCTTGCCAGTACAGCCTTCTTCTCCTGGGGTTGGAAGAAGAGTCAGGGCTTGGCCAGTTTGCTGGCCACCCCTCATCCCACAACTTCAGAGAGGCAGTCTCATGGAATAGACAGCTTGCTAGATCCCTACAATACTCTGCTGAAACTCTGAGGTCACCAATGTCCTAACTGCCAGATCCCATAGTGATTTCTCCATCCTCATCCTTTCTGTAGTTTTAAACACTGTGGCTGATGGACTACTTTCTTGCTCCTCCTCCTGGGGCAGAGACAACATACCTTGTCCCTAGGTTCTTCTACCTCTCTGTTGTAAAGATATTTGGAGACATCCTATTTTCTAGAGCAAGCTGTGTCCTGAGCTTGGCATAATAACAATCCTTCGTGGCCACCCTCTGGATGATCTCCCCCTCTGGCAAAATGTATTGCTTTGACCAGCACCAGGTGTTTTCTGAGGGATTCCCTATTTTCCAGTGACCTGAGGGCTGGAAGCAGCCAATATGCTTCAGCAGAAAGGGATCACTTAGCGTCACCTGACATGCTCACAATTCCTATTTTTTGTAACTGCTAAGTGAACTGAACCAGGTGCTGAACTCTTGTTCCTGCCACACTACCTCTGATTCTGTATGCCACTGAATGATCACAAGGCTCAATGACCCTTATTACTTGAAACAGTAAACTTAGAGACTGTGCCTACAAGACCCAGGAACGCCTGTATTGTCCCAAAGATGCCTGCATGTGTGGTCCTGTATTGGGAACTGTTTATTCAAGACCTAAGAATGATTGTGTTAGGTCCCATCTTTTTGTGGTTTTCAGGAATAAAAGCCCTACCCCTGCCACAAGCTATAAGCCCTCCTCAGGAGGACTTCAGTTTGCAAACCTGCTTTCCTCACTCTGAAATGAGTTAAATTTTTGTTTGATTCCTGACTGTCTTGTCTCCAGCCTGCTTTGCTGAGCTCCAGCCACCCACAATTTAGAGACTGGTTCCGGTCTGGTTGATATTTAAATTGGTGTCAGAAGTTGGATTGGACTCAGAACCAGGTCATTTGACTTTCTGGTACCAGTGAGAACAGACTAGGCATCACTGGAGATTTCTCTAGAGTCCAGCACCTTCCCCTCTTCCCCCATCTGGGTAGTCAGCTACCCTTGTTCCTGCTCCAATCCTCCAGGCTCATGCTTCTAAGGGTTGTAGAGAGTTTAGAACACTAAGAAAGATTAATGAACTTTCACTGTTGAAGTGATTGTCCCAATAAGCAGAACTAACCCCCACTTTAGGCATTCTGTGGGAGTTTAGGTTATAAGAAAAGAGGAAAAATGTGTAAGACACTTTTTTTTCTGTCATTTTGGCTTTGGCTATGCTGGAATTACAGAAAAAAAAGTCAGATAATCAAAGTCGTAGAACCACTAAAAAGATCTTAGCAGATTTTGAAGGTTTGAAGATTAATCATTTTAAGATTGCAGGAGAGAATTCCTGAGACTTTCGGGTAATTCTAGAAATTCACTCCCTTCTGAAATATCTTAGCACTCTATAAAATGTTTTAAAGAAAAATAAGGATTAAATTTTATAAAAGTTTTTCAAAGTCAACGACAAGATTAATAGCTTCATTGTTCTAGGGAAATGAAAGAAGGCAGCTAGTTTGGAAGTAACCCCAGAGTGAAAAAAGAAAAAAAATAGGCAAATGGTTTGTACTTTATAGCAACCTCTTGTTAACCCTTCCTTGACATTTCAGTTTTTATCCTATTTTATTAATAATCTTCACCCACAGGGGCAGCTAGGTGGCGCAGTGGATAGAGCACCAGCCCTGAAGTCAGGAAGACCTGAGTTCAAATCCAGCCTCCAACCAAACACTTGACACTTACTAGCTGTGTGACCCTGGGCAAGTCACTTAACCCCAATTGCCTAAAAAAAACCCAAACACAAAAAAAACAAATCAAAAAAAAAATAATCTTCACCTGCCAATGTCTAAACAAATTAAGCTGATTGACAAAGTTCTGATATTGGGTTCCTCCTCAAGACTACAGCACAACTGGCAGTTACTCTGGTGGAGGAGGATGAAATTAGAAGAAATTAGAAAGAACTTAGAGGTGCTTAATTAGAAATAATTTTAGAAATTAGAAATAAAAACTTAGAGATGCTAAAAAGAAATTTTTCCTTGCAACTCCTCTGCAATTGCAATAGCCCAGCTCTCCCCATGTCCCTTCTGCACCATTAAGAAAGGAAAGTAATTTAAACAAGAGATGCAAACTACAGACTATAGAATGAAGGCTGGATACCGACAAAAGGAGGAAAAAACCCAAAAAGTACTGAGGGATCCTCCACACAACCCCAATCACTCAGCATATCGAGACTCCAGGAGGGATGACAAGAGGAGAGGGGCCACAAGGAGGGGCATGTTCAGACCAGGCCTGTAATCCCCCAACCCAGAGGATTTGACTCCTCTTGGAGATGTCTCCTTGATCATTCAGGGACAAGAAGTATCCACCCTTGATAATACTGGTGCCACACCATCAGTTTTAAACCCCTCTGCCTTCCCCACTCTTCTAACCCAGAGTCGAGTGGTGAGTGTATCTCCATTGTGGGGACTGCTAACAAGACCATTATAGCCCATGTCTCTTCTGAAACTCCTTCAGGGCAGAAACCTTCTCTCTTCCTGTGAACCCCTCCCATTTCAGATCAGATTCACAAATACAGGTGTTGGGGGGAAAAATTGCTGGAAAAATGTAGGGAAACTTGAATTATGTTCTGCCTTTCCAGCTGTGTCCACTTAGTGGAGGGGGAGCAGCAGCTGCAGCAGGTCCCTCCACCCTCCACTGGCAGTGGCCCCAGTGGCCCTGTGCCTCTGAGCATCCTGCAGCCTGCCCCTCCAGGCAAGTCTAGGGGCATCACTCAGGCACAGTACATCCTGCCCACCCTGCCCAATCAGCCGCAAGTGGCTCCAGTCCCAGCAGCGCCTGCCCCTGAAGCTGCAGCCATTGGGAAGGTGGGTCAGGCCCCATGGCCAGCACCCACCTTCCCTGCCCTGCCACCACAAACTGCCATCAATGGGAAGGCCCTGGCACCATCCACCCTAACCCCTGGGATTCTACTGCACTGCCCCACCCAAAGCCCTCTGCAGGCCCTGCTCAGCTGCTGCCTAGGAAGATCCTGGTGCCCCTGGCAGCACCTAGCATGGCAGTATGAGTTGGGGGGGGTGAGCGGCCAGCCTCTGCCCTTGATGAGCCCACTTTTCTCTGTTCTAGATGCAGAAACTTATTAACTGTGTAATCTTGTGCAAGTTATCTTATCTCAGGGCAGCTAGGTGGTGCAGTGGATAGAGCTCTGGCCTTGAAGTCAGGAGGACCTGAGTTCAAATGTGGCCTCAGACACTTTACACTTATCAGCTGTGTGACCCTGGGCAAGTCACTTAGCCCCAATTGCCTCACCAAAAAGAAAAAAAAAGTTATCTCTGTTTGCCCCAGTTTCCTGATCTGTAAAGAGAAAAAGAATAATGGTACCCACCTCCCAGGGTTGTTATGAGATCAAAATAATATAATGATTGTAAAGTACTTAACACAGTGACTAGAATATGCTAAGCACTACATTATTATTTCTTTAATTGAATGTAATTGTTCCATACCTGATAACTCTAAAGTGGTTTTAAAATTTCAAAGGCAATAAGATTAATGATTTTTATATGTGATAATTTGGAAATGCAATTCACTGAATTGATGTCATCTGAAGTTTTGTTTCATGTTTTAAATACATGATATGGTCTATGTTATTATTATGTTTCTAAATTCTCTTATATTGTGACATTCGAGAGACCCACTGTAACAGAAATGCTGTTAGACAAAGTAACTTTTTAATCTTGATGCTGTTACAAATGAATCAGGCTTTTAAAAGGATGTGATAAAAATAGATATTTAAAAATTGCTAAATAATTCATGAGGTATATTTTGTTATGAAACATAATAATAATGCTTATTATAATACTATAATAAGTTTACTGTAATCGTGGATTTTCATTTTAAATTCTTGGCTATTATAAAAGCATATATGGTGGTTTACAGATGTAACTTCAACATATTAATGGTGAGTCAACTATCAGGTATTTGCTGTATATCTGAAGCCCCAGAATATGGGTAGTTTCAATTTATAAGTAAAGGATAAATGAAATATTAACTATTAGGGAAATATCAGGAAAGCTATTCAAGCCCTAAGTGGTTAGGTTTTGCTATTTAAGGTAAAAATTCCTGGGACTGTAATTTATTATTGTTTTGAGTTTTGATTTACAGAGATAGTTGTCTGGATTGTCATGAAGCCAATAATAGAAAATGGCATGTGCTGCAGTCTGGAAACTGCTAAAGAAGGATGCCTATGCCTGGGAAAAGTTTTGGGAATGACTTAGTCCCCATGTTAGGGATAGATCCTCCTGATTGTATTTCCTCTTTGTGCTGTTTCCTTTCTGAAAGGGAAAATTCCCACCTGGTTAATCCTGAGCCTCGCTTTTGATACATTGTGACTACAGCTGTCAGATATGACTCCTGCCTGGAATCAAATGGAGCTAAGGGAGTTATCCCCTTTGTTATGATATATGACATTGTTATAATTATATCCTTTTTTTCCTTTTATAGCAACCTATAATCAATAAGTTTTGTAAGTACAATACTAAATCTGTTAAATAATAAATTGATACTGGGACATCTCTGAGTTACTATAATAGGATGCAAGTATGAACTCCTTAGAATTTTAACCTAAATTTGTGGACAAATCATAATATAGAGATGATATCCTCCTAAGCAGAAATGATTAAACAAAGTAATAAGACAAAGATGTAATGTGAATGTTTCCTAATTAAATGGAAAAGTAAATTTTGAGAAAAGCAATAGGATTAGACTTTTCTCTAAGAACTATATACAAATGTATATGAATGGCTTCCAAAATTTCTTTATCATGGAAATTCAGGCTTTGAGTATGTTTTACTAATAAGTTCTCAAAATTGGATTAAAGATTTTATACATAAATTGTATTGATAATGGTAAAGAAAGTGAAATTATTTTACCATTTAAAAAGTACCTGTCTGGTAATTTTAAAAGGCAGAAGAACAGGCCATAAATGGGCTTCCTAAGAAAAAATCACTAGGTAGAAGTGAATTCTGTCAAACATTTAAAGATCAACTAATTCCAATATTAAATAAATTATTTGGAATAATAGGCAAAGAAGGGATCCTACCAAACTCCTTTTATGAAATAAATAAGGAACTAATAAAAAAGTGTAAAAGAAGGAGGTTTAGCAGTATCAGATCTTAAACAATATTATAAGGCAGTAATTACCAAAACAATCTGGTGCTGGCTAAGAAATAGAGAAGTAGCTCATAGATTTTTGAAAAAAGGATTCTGGGGGCAGCTAGGTGGCACAGTGGATAGAGCACTGGCCCTGGAGTCAGGAGGACCTGAGTTCAAATCAGCCTCAAACATATAACACTTACTAGCTGTGTGACTCTGGGCAAGTCACTTAACCCCAATTGCTTCACCAAAAAAAAAAAGGGATTTTTATAACAAGTAAAGGATTTAGGTAAGGATAGAAACAGCAAATGGTATATAAACTGAAATTCTCTGAAGTTTCAAAGTTGGAGAACCAGATTTAAGTGATTATACTAAATTATACTAAGTCAGAATTATCTAGACACCTCTAGATTTGGAACCAGAGAAGCAGAGCCCCTTTTAGAGCTGTCCTGAGAATAATCCTATTGTCTAAGAAAAGATATCCATAGACCAGACACAGGAGACATCTGGGACTCAAAATGTGTTGGTTAGATATTGAGAATGGTTACTAGGATACCAGGAGGCTCGACGCTAATTAATATTTATGATAATTATTGTATTGCTTTGGTCTTTTTTAAAAGATGTTCATGTTTAAGTTTTCTTGGTTACCTTGGTGACAGATAAATCTCTCTTCTCAGAACTAGTCTATTGTGAGATCTCTAAGTAGTTTGATCCATACCTGACTTAATGTAATTATGCAATTATGAGAATTGTGAGGAAAACTTTATTGTATTATTTGAATACAATACTAGTACTGTGTGCCTGAGAAACTGGATCATCTTTGTATGTTGTTGAGAGACTCTTAACTAAGGACCTCTGTTATGTTGACCAGAAACTCAGATTCAAAGGTTGATGCAAGGACTTTTCTCTAAGGGACCCTACCAGGTCCTTCTGAGTACTCCCACAGCTGCCAAACTTGTGGATTTTCTAAAGAAAGCCCCTGCTACTGAATGGACAACAGAACCCTCCAGGAAGCTCCAGGTTCATCTAGTATGGACCCAGAAGCAGCAAACAACCAGACACCCAAGATTCCTGATGAAGGCTAAGTATACTGTCCTACTTTTTTTGTTTCCTCTTCCCTTTTTTTATGTGCCCAACCACTAAGACTGTAATTCAAGTGTGTATTGGCATTTTCTCCCCCTATGTTCTTGGCACCCCTCTCTTTTCTGCATACAAACAAACAATACATATAGTGACCCCTAGGACACACTTCCCCAATAGGTCCCCTCAAGAAACTAACTCCCAGGCAACATCTCATCCTGGCAGAACTGGCATCTTGGCTTATATAAAGATATTGAGATACCCTGTTTTCCAGAGCTAAGGCCCAGCAGACAAGCTATGTCCTGAGCTTGGTATAACAGCAATCCTTTGTGGTTACCCTCTGGATGATCTCACTCTCTGGCAAAATGTGTTGCTTTGACCAGCACCAGGTGTTCTCTGGGGCATTCCCTATTTCCCAGGGACCAGAGAGTCAGAAGCAACTGACATGCTACCGCAGAAAGTGATCAATCAACCTTTCCTGACATGCTCACAATCCCTGTTTCTTGTAACTGCTAAATGAACTGAACCAGGTGCTGCAGTCCTGTTGCGGCCATGCTGACTCTGGTTTTGTACCCCACTGAACAGTCACAAGACTCATGACTTGAGACAATTAACTTAGACACTGTACCCACAGGACCCAGGAATGCCTGTATTGTCCCAAAGATGTCTGCACATGTGGGACTACTATGGGAATTATTTGTTCAAGACCTAACAATTATTGTGTTAGGTCCCACCTTTTTTTGTTTTTCAGGAATAAAAGCCCTGCCCCTGCCACAAGCCCAAGCCCTCCTCAAAAGGACTTCAGTTTCCAATCCTCTTTTTCTCACTGAGTAAGTAATTAAATTTCTCTCTGATTCATGACTCTCCTGTCTCTAGCCTACTTGTTCAGCCTACTTCAGCCACCTACAGCTCAGAGACTGGTTCTGGTCCGGTTGACACTGTCCTTTCCTTTTCTGTCTCCACTGTGTCCTCAACGTCCTTCTGGCCCCAGTGTGAGTCTGCCCCTATCACCTTTGCACTTCTATTTATACTTTCTCCCTTAACAGTCCCATTCATCCTTATAACTCCCTCATTCTAATGTAAATTCCTTTCCAGTAGGGATTGTTTCATCCTTTATAGAGCAGAGGAAGTATGCAACATCTGCTGAATTACTGACATCCCATCTTTGCAGATGACTCCCGAGTTTGTGTCTCTCTTCTGAGGATGTCATAGAATCACAACCCCAAGAACCAAGCAGACACCTCCTCTTGGGGTGTCACTGGCACCTCCAATCCAGAATGTCTACCAGCCAGTGTTTCCCCCTAACCAAGCTGCCTCCTCTTTCTGACTGCACTGCCTCTCCAGGGCACCCAGCCCCTGTGTTTGGGAACCTGTTATCTGGCCCTCCTCCTCCTCCTCGTACCTCACTTCTCCTATCCAGTTACCAGATCCTGTTGGTTTCATCTCCTCAACATCTCTCTCATCCATCTCTTCCTCACTACTCCCACTACCATCATTCAAGTACGTGCCCTCACAGCCACCTGCCTTCCCTAGAGGCTCTTCTCCTGTCTCCCTTTGCCTTTGGCCTGGCAGTCAAGGCCCTCCATGACCTGGCACCCTAACTTTCCCAACATTTGTTACTCCTCTCCCCATGCTGTATGCTATAGCCACATACTGGATTGCTCTCTGCACCCTGAGAATGGACTGTGCTCTCTGGAATCCATACCTCTGTCCATACTCTTCCTTGGGCCTGGGATGCCCTCTCTTGTACTCTTGGTTTGCTGAATTCTTTCCTCAATATTTCAAACAGCTTTCAGTAAATCCTTCCCCAAATGCTTCATTGTGGAATAGAGGTCTGCCTATGTTCTTGGCAGCCATGCCACAGGTTGGACTCTGACTCATCCTTTAAGGCCCAACTCCTAGGGCACCACCTCTAGTTTGGTTACAACCTCCCCCCCAGACTCATGAAGCACCTTGTTTGCTCTTTTCTCATGCACTTGTGTAATATTGTCCCTCGTTCCCCCATCAGACTGTGAACTCCACGAGGACAAGGCTCATGTTGGATTCAAACCAGGTCTGATCATCCCTGGCACCCAGAACCCCTAGGGCTCTCTGTTTTTGCTGGATTGGATTTGGAGTAAGAACCTGGCTCAAGTCCCAGCTCTCCTATTTTTTTAGGTGTGTGGCTTTACGCAAGTCCACACACTTTTCCAGGCTTTAGTTTCCTCACCTCCAAAATGAAGGGGTTGGACCAGATGGTGTCAGAGGTCACTTCCAGCTCTAAATCTAGGACTCTGTTTGTGATCCCTGGCACCACTTACCCCTGGAACTGTTACTGGAAGGTTCCCAGCCTGTAGGGTGCCCCATCCCATCCCACCATCTACCTTGGCCCTGGTCCTACTCACCTGTTGGAATTGCTGATAAGAGGGCTCCCCGGGTTGGGGGGGATTCATCACTACATCCATGATAATTTGCCCTGGCACTGGTGGGCACAGCCAAACTGACAGCAACTTTAACATGTGCTGCTTTACTGCAGGGTCCATATTCACTACTTCTGTGTAGCCCCCCCCAACCCACACCTAAGAAGAGTGTCAGAGAATCAGAAGGACTAAGGAATTGGGGGAGGGTTCCCAGAAGGACTTAGGGCCTGGGGCATGTCTGAGCAGTACTGAGGGATAGGAAAGGCTTATAATCTGGGGATAAGGGTTTCTTGTTAATTAGGGAGGGGGATTCCCATATCTCCCTGGCTTGGAGGGATAGGGAGGATTCCTCTGTCTCCCTGGCCAAGAAAGGGGAGCACTGATGCTCGTGTGTCTTACTCGCCCATGTAGCCCTTAGAGCTCTAGCTGCTGGGCATAGGGTGGACCCATCTCCATCAGCACCTTCTTGAATGAGTGAAACTGGGATCCCTCAGCATATATATTGTCCTGGTAAACCTGAGGGTCCAGGTAGAAGGGAGGTCACATTCACAGTCAAAAACACCCCTGAGGCCTCCCCTCCCCCAGCCCTAATGCCCCCTGGCAGGGCCCTGCTTAGACACCTCATCAGCCATCAGGAAGAGATGCTCCTCATAGGCAAATCGAATGACAGCTTCGATGTTCTCACGGCTCAGGACCTGCCCTGGGTTTTAGGTTATAGGATACAAAAGGGGACAGGAGGAAGAGGTGGATTGCAGTTGTCCTGGTGCTAAGGCTAGGGTGGGGCAGGGGATGAGATGCATGAACAGATTCCCAATCCAAGACTTGGGAAGGGTGATGCCCAAGGGAACCTGGGCCTGAGGATGGGGTAGACAATGGGGCCAGACTGGCAGGGGAGTAGATGAGGCAAGGGTGAGGGAAATCTATCTGTGGGGTTGCCAGGATTGATGACACACAGGACCCGAGGTTGGCAGTGAGCTTTGGCCTGACCTAAGGCCCGCTGCAACTCAGCCACATCTAGTCCCCACTGATGCTCCTCATTCAAGCAGTAGTTGATCTGGACAGCATCAAATTCAGCCAGGGTGGCTGAATATAATGGGTACTGGGGAATAGGAATCATGACCCCTGTCCGATTCTTTCCTTTACCTGACACCAACAGATTCAGCACTGCCTGAAGAAGAGAGGTAAAAGCTGAGTCAGGGGTCAGGGGACAGGGGCTCCCTTTTGCCAACACCCTTTATCTCCTCCCCCTGACTTCCATTGAATTTCTGAAGCCATGGACCCACTGGCCCTGATTAGGAATCCTACCCACCCTACTTCCTCCCCCTTTCCTTGCCAACTGAGCAGAAGCTGTGCCAGGCTCGGGTACAATGGGGTCCTCTGTGCCTATGCTAGAGGAAGGGCTGAGCAGGGGGTGGAGTGGGGAGGGGTCTAAGGAAATCAGATGGAGGAGGGAAGAGACAAAGAAAGAGGGAGGTGTACCATGATGGCACTGCTGGCCCCTGTGGACAGGAAGATGTTCTCAGGGTCAGAAGCAATGCCCCTGTCCCGATGCTCAATGTACCTTGCCACATTTTCTCGAATCGTCTGGATACCAGCACTGGCGCTGTAAGACCCTAAACCAGGGTAGGGATGGGGAGTTAAGATGGATATGGGTCAGAAAGAAGGGCATGGGGACTGTGGGCAGAGCCACACTCCCTTTTGGATCATAGCTTCTCTGAGGGCAGGACCATGTCTCCCCTTCAGAACCAGAGGTCTTAGTGTCAAAGCTGCAAGGGGCCTCAGAAGTCATCCCATCCAACTCCCTCATTTTACAGATGAAGACACTCAGGCTCAGAGAGGTGAAGTGATTTGTCCCAGGTCACACAGGTAAGAACCAGCAGAGCTAAGATTCAAAACCAGGTTCCTCTGCTACAAATCCAGTGATAGGCTGCTTGAAGGGACAAGTATGGGAACAGGCAGGGAAGGGACTTACCTGAGCTGTGGCCCCCACAGGCCTGCAAGATTCTCATTGCCCGTTTCTTGGCATCTTCTGGGAAGGATGGGCTGCTCAGGAGATCTGGGTACTGGCAGAGGGCCAAGACCTGAGAGTAGTGTGTGTGTGTGTGTGTGTGTGTGTGTGTGTGTGTGTGTGTGTGAGGAGGGAATGGCACAAAGTGAGGGCCCATGGGGTCCCCCAAGGGAAAGAAGGAACAGGTACTATACTGGACTTGGGGGGTGGGGTAAGGCTTCTCACCTGGCACATAAAAGTGATTGGCTTCTGACCCATAGCTTGGGCATCTCCTTTATAGGCATGGGTAATCTCTGTGAAGGGCTTCTTCAAACTCTGTAGAGAGAGAGAGAGGATGGGGGCAGTAGGTGGCACAGTGGATAGAGCATAGGCCCTGGATTCAGGAGGACCTGATTTCAAATCCGGCCTCAGACACATATCACTCACTAGCTGTGTGACCTTACTATCTATGTGACCTTGGGCAAGTCACTTAACCCCATTGCCTAGCCAAAAAAAAAAAAAGAGAGAGAGGATGAGAGCCCCCCCCCCATTCTTCTCCTTTCCCAGCTGTCTGGGCTCCCAGAACCAAATGACCCTGAGGGGGGAGGGGTCTGGCCTCATCCAGTGACTGCCCCATTCTGCCTAGACAAGCTATAGAGCCCCTGGCAAGGGGTGGGACAGCACAGGATGAATTCCTTACTCATTCAGCCTCTCCCCTACAGCCCCACAGCTGTACTGAGGGAGGTGAGGGTGAGGGTAAGGGGACTAGAGAAGGCAACGGGCAGGAGGGACTAAGAGAGGTGGCCCTCATGACTGAAACCCACTATTGGGAAGGGTACTGAGACAATTTGGGTCCACCTTCTCTTCTTGCCGACAGTCCAGAACTGCCTGGAGAGAAAGCCCTCATCTTGTAGGGGACAGGACACCTAGGGCAATGATTGCTGAACCCTCCTTACCCTTCTATTGTGTGTCTTCTCTAATCCTATTACTCAAGGCCTTGTATTCCTGGAGTAATCTCAAGCGCAGAAAGAAAAATCTCAGGCATGGGAACATGGACCCCCTGACCCAGGGCATGTGCAAAGGTTGGCATGGAGGGTATGTAACCGTGGGACAGGGAGAGTGACAGGGGGCACTCTGTCCCTGGGGACAGAGAACCTTAAGAAATAGGAATGGCCAGGGCTGAGAAAAGTTGAATTGGGAATAAGAGGTTGGGCAGGGCTAAGCACATAGTAGGTGCTTCACCAATCCATTCAGGGGGCTGCAGGGAGTTAGGTGGAAGGAAGGAAGTTGGTAAGGTCTTTGGGAGAGTGAGTGCTTACCCCAAGAAGAGATAACAGGTTTGGACTGAGCAGGTGTCTGGGAAGGGGGTGAAGGGGTGAGAGGAACCCAGCACAGTACCTGCTGAAGCTCTCTCTCCAGCTCCATAGCCTGCTGCACAATGGACCCTAGAATAACATACTTGTTAGAGGCACTACCTTGATATCCCTCCATTTTGCAACATCCTACGTTTACTGTTGGTAGAAAGCCAGACATCCTAGGGTGACCCTATTTGTTTTGTGGCTAATGAAGGACACTGGGATCCTGAGTGGGGGTTGGGGGTAGGGGCTTACTCTATGGTTATAAAAACTTCTTGAACTAAGCCTTCAAAGAGTCCAGAATTATTTTCTGACTCCCAGGCACGCACAATTCTCTGGCTCAATGAGAATAAATAAGCTCATATAAGCACATGTACAGCCTGATTCTGTTTGTTCCTTGATTCTTTGATCTTTTTAAGGTGAACTCCATTCTGTTTGTTTATTGAGCAAGCCTTTGGTAAAGTGGGAAACTGATTCTGTTTACTTCTTCCGACCAAACCTTTGGTACAATGTTTGGTGCTGTGACTTAGATCGGACTGATGCGGGGGTGAGACGGTGAGAGGACCCACACCCTGACAAGTTTAGTGATTCGGAGCCATAGGGTGAGGTTTCTCCTGAAGTCTCAACATTGCCGGGTGTGGGTGAGTTTTTCTTTGTCCTCCCAGCTCTCATTCTCAGACTTCCATGGGTTTGTTCAAAGTCAGCAATTCTCTTTGAACCAACTTTGGGCACAAGGATCATTTTGGTTTTTATTTTCTTGATCCCCTCCAGTAAAGGATCTTAAAATAATAGGGCAATGGGTCGATCAGAAACTAAAATTAGAGATCTGCCTCACAAGACTGCTGCCTTTTGTAAGTCAAAGCATTATAAGTCTGATGACAAAAAATACTATCAATGTTGGTCTCAATTGGGGCAGCTAGGTGGTGCAGTGGATAGAGCACTGGCCCTGGATTCAGGAGGACCTGAGTTCAAATCCAGCCTCAGACACATAACACTTACTAGCTGTGTGACCCTGGGCAAGTCACTTAACCCCATTGCCTAACCAAAAAAACCCCCAAAATGTTGGTCTCAGTTAACTAAAGATAGCCCTGAATTATGTTGGCCATGTTGGGGCTCTTTTGACCAGTCTAAGTTACTTTATCTTAAAACTAAATTAAGCTTAAAAAACAAGACATCTAATCAGGAATGAGAATGTTTTCATCATTGATGTGCTGAGATGGTGGAGTGAGAAGGAAAGGCAGAAGCCTCTTCCTGTAAAAACTGCAAAACTTGGGGACAGCTAGGTGGCGTAGTGGATAGAGCACCGGCCCTGAAGTCAGGAGTACCTGAGTTCAAATCTGACCTCAGACCAAACACTTGACACTTACTAGCTGTGTGACCCTGGGCAAATCACTTAATCCCAACTGCCTTAAAAAAAAAAAAAAATTGCAAAACTGCTTCAGCACCACTTTCCCCTGTGCTAATTTCCTCTGCCCCATCTTCCCCTCCCACCCAATGGTGCCAACCTGTCCCTCTCCTGTGGCCATTGCTCCTCCTCCACCAGCTCTACTATCTGTCACCTCCTTCCCCCTCCCTTTCCTTTGAGGGCTCGGGTCCTGGGGAGGATAATTCTGCTCAGCCATCTCTTCCCTCCTCCTCTCTACCTTAAAGGCTACAGTCCTGACAGGGACTCAGATCCCCGAACTTAACTTTATCAGGACCTACCCCTTTAAATCTACAATGTTAGGGCTGCTCTGAAGAAGGGGTGTAAGATCCAGTTCCCATTCTCACTCTTTGCCCCTCTCTCACACTGTCCAGTCTTGGATCTGCAAATTCATGATGGGGATTTCTAACAAACTTCTCCCTGTCATTCCACGATTAGATTTTGTTCACTCTGTTTGTATTTGTGAAGTAAGTGTCTCTGTGTCTATATCTCGTGTGCTATGAGAGAGTCTTTTTCCTCAAAAGATTAAAATGAAGTCAGTGAGAAACTTCTGAGGGCTGTAGCTAGGAAAACAAACAAACAGACAAGCCTGTAACACTTTTTCATTGTGGTCTCAACTATGTCCAGGCTGGAGCTACAGTGAAAAGTTAGGTACAGCTAAAAACATCTTAGATTCCGGAGGTTTTGAGATTAACAAGGAGTTTGGAAACTGTTCATTTTGGGATTGCAGGAAAAAACTCCTGAGATTTGGGGCTAATTCCACGAATTCATCCCCTGCTAAAACTCCTTCTCACAATCCTGATCACTCAGCATCTCCCACTCCCTCACCTGGGGTTAGGAGTGTGTGGGAGAGCATTCTCTGAGCCCTGCCACCAAGAATTATCCCTACTGGAAAGGCCCTGGCATCAGCCACCCCAGCCCCTAGACAATGCCTGGCATGGCATTATGAGGTGGAGAAGCCAGCCAGCCCAGGGCCTTGGTAAGCCCACTCTTCTCTGTTCCAGTTACAGAAATGCACCAGCTTTGTAGTTTATGGCAAGCTTTTTTATCCCTGTTTGCCCCATTTCCTGATTTGTAAAGGGAAAAATACTGGTTGTGGTTGTGGGATCAAAATGATATAATGATTGTAAAGTGCTTAAGTCAATGACTGGCATATGGTAGACACAACATTACCATGATCTCTCTAATTTAATGTAATTGTTCCATATCTGATAGCTTTGAGTTATCAAATACCAAAAGTAATAAGATCAACAATTTCTATATGTGATAATCTGGAAATGAAATTGATGTCATCTGAAGTTTATTGTGTTATTATTGTATTTCTGAATTGTATATTTCTAAAATTCTCTCATACTGTAAAATTTGAGACACCACTGTGAGGTAGAAATGGCACTAGAGGGGGGCAGAGCCAAGATGGCAGAGTAAAACCAGGGACTTGCTTGAGCTCTCCCCCAAACCCCTCCAAATACCTGTAAAAAATGACTCTAAACAAATTCTAGAGCAGCAGAACCCACAAAAAGACAGAGTGAAACAAATTTCCAGCCCAAGACAACCTGGACAGTCAATGGGAAAGGTCTGTGGTGCTGGGCTGAGAAAGGAGCTCAGTTCAGTGCAGGCATGCACGCAAAGACCAGGCCTCAGTGAACCTGAAGCAGGCCTCAGAGGACTGAATCATGGGGAGATGTGGCAGTTTCCAGACTTCTCAACACACAAACGCCAAAGACAACTTAGAAGGTCAGTGGGAAAGGTCTGTAGGACCTGGATGAGAGAGGAGCATGGTCCAGCCTGGGCCCTCGCGCAGCCCTGGGGCAGTGGCCACAGTTACAGTTGCTTCCAGAGCTTTCAGCCCACAGACAGTAGGGGGATCAATCAGAGGGGGATTGCAGGAATCTCTGCTGGTGCTGAGGCAGGAATCCCTTGCTTTGCCCGCGCTTGGATCTGGGTCCAGTCCTGGGTGGCTGTCCTGGGGCAAGGAGGAGCGCTGGAGTGGTGGAGCTTGTGGCAGCAGTACAGAGAGAATCCTCCTCTCACTTCCAGGGCAGAAAAGAGTGCTTGTGGTCACTCATAGACCAAAGCACAGGCCAGGACAGTAGTAAACACTTCTCCTTAGATCATGCCACCTTGGAAGAACTGAAAACTTACAGATCCCTAGAAGTATCTCTGAAAACAGCTGCACAAAACCCCTAAGCTTGGGACAGTACACCCTCCATACTGGAAGCAGAGCCTGCCTTAACAAAGAGTTAAAAAGTCAAGGAACTGTCTGGGAAGATGAGCAAACAGAGGGAAAAATTCAGACTATAGAAACTTACTTTGGTGACAAGGAAGATCAAAACATACAACCAGAAGAAGAGAGCAAAGTCAAAGCTCCTATATCCAGAGCCCACAAGAAAAATATGAATTGGTCTCAGACCATGG